ATATACAGTACACATATTTCGACCGATTATTCGATCCCAAAGGTTTGCCAGCTGGTGGGTTGACTAATACTAGCTTATTATAAACATATATACAGTACACATATTTCGACCGATTATTCGATCCCAAAGGTTTGCCAGCTGGTGGGTTGACTAATACTAGCTTATTATAAACATATATACAGTACACATATTTCGACCGATTATTCGATCCCAAAGGTTTGACAGCTGGTGGATTGACTAATCAGCAAGGGATTACTCGTCAACCGGATTACTCGGCGAACATGGATACAAACTCCAAGGTTAACGTATGAATAATCAATCATTCCCGCTGGAACGATACTGTAAGAAAACCTTGGTTGCCTGACATATCAGGGATTATATACAAATCTGTATAACTTTCTCGTGTTCTCATACTGTTTCTTCCCAAGTATGGGCATTATTGCATTTGCACAGCGCCACTGACATCACAGAGAACCATGATGCCGTCAACTCTTACTTACTCGAAGTACACGACACAGTTCACCAACAACCTGTGCCTCTATCGCAATAAAGCGTGCTTCAACGTCCGCGCGGTCAAGAAGAATGGCCTGCTGCACAGTCTCTGCGAATACCATCGGCTCAAAGCCAACTCGAACCAGCGCAAACTCGAAAAGAAGAAGCGCGAATGTCCGATCACTCCTCCTGCGGCCACAACCGAGCAAAGCAACAAGCCACTGCGTATCTTTGGCGTCAAGGAGCTGTGGATGAATCCGTCCGACGTAGACGACATCGACACGGGCGACGACGACGTTGTGATTTGGGTGCAGCCCATCCGCCTCGAACCCCCGCAGACATTCGACCACTATATTCACGACCAAATTTAACCGACATGAAAGTAACTATTTACGAACCGAACCCATGTACTTGTTTCTGTGGTCATGCGGAAAAGTCCACAGCAGTTGACCCCGAAGAAGCGACTCGCCCCCTGGCCTGAACAGGAGGCATTCGATATGGCCCTTCAGTGCTGATGTGCAATTCCATTTGAATATTAAGCAGTTCTATCTAGGGAGATAGAAACCGTCCGGGTAAAACCACCGAAGCTTTCTTGTCGTGTCGTGTATCGATGTCCAGTCAACGACGACGACATATCGGTTCAAGCATGCCATTACTATATGTCTGGGTATGCTTCACAGTCCAAAGTAATGGTGATGGCGTTGCATTCAGATGAATTCGAGGCGAAAATGGTATCGTTCGGTTTCCGTACAGCTAGGGTGTTGCCTCCTCAACCTTTTAATTTCACAGCCTCATATAACTTTGAGTTGGAGATTCGTAAACCGGTATCAAAAAGTCACCTAAAAAGTATGTTACCGAAAACTCTCTAATAATGACCTCTGAGGAGTTCAGGAACAGAAATACGAATACGTAGTACTAGTAGGATATAGCATCGTCTTTGGAATGCTTGCCCTGCGTTGTGGTCGAGCATCGAATTCGATAGTTTTTCACGGGATGTCACGTTTCGCCGAGTGCACTTGTCGCAATTGTGAATTGTCCCCATTGCCCATTTCACAGAAACTTGGTCAGTGCAACACTTCAAAATTAATAAAAATTGAAATTTATATTAATTTTGAAGTACTTGGAGTACTAGAATTTCAATTGTGCCGAAGTAGAGTGATTGGATAAATATAATTTCAAGAAAATAAACCAATTGCGAATTCGTCGGAACGTGATTGGCTTGAATCAAAGGATTGAATGAACTTGATTGATTGCCATTCCTAGAATGGATTACTACTGTATAATCAGACCTTAAACACCGAACAATAAAATACATGAGCCAATCATTGACTACTATTTGAAGTATTTTCCCCAATCAATTGTAAGCATGGATATCTCGTTAGTGAGATGCTCTCAGAAGCACGGTTGGTTCGAGCAAATGCAGCGCAATTAAGATCGGAGTTGCCTCCTTTGACTTCTGTACCCTACTGACTGGGTTCAGCGACACTGATCGTGAGCATTTTTTGTACCTTTCGAGGTCAACAAGTAGGCAAATTGACCCTCCATGCAGGTTGAAATTCGCAGTTTCGTCCTCATCAACATGAATTCTAGTCAGTATCACTATGTACGTTGGGATTTATTGAGAGTAGGGCCCAATTCGTTGTAGTCGTTGTTCCATATTTCCACCAGCCGAGTCACCATAACCGGACGAGCCTGTTATGCGGATTATTTGCTGTTTTCACTGTTGGGGATGCAAAAAAGTATGATCCACGTCACCTATAAACTACCAACTTTTCACAAAAATATCTCACTTCTTCTTCGTATTCATTACTCAAAATTTCAGCAAATTGAGACTGGTGAAGAAATTCAACGTCTCAGATTCAAATTTGGCGATGAATTGGTGCAGAAATAGATATTTAACCTAGTGGTATTTTACCTGGGCGCATGGATATTTGGCCATAGAGGTGGCCGCCGAGATGTATCTTGATTTTTGTATGTAGTTCTTATCCGTATATAATATCCGGAGGCAGTTAGGGATAAAACGCATGAAATCGGTATTGACAGTGTGAATGTATTTGGTTTTTGGGTTACACGTTACACTAATAGTACGTTAGATAATAAAACCTCCACTCTTCGATTTGGCCAGTTGGAAGTTTTTAGATGAATTACATCATACGTCCAAGTAAAATACAGTGACGGCAAACATCATTTTGCACTATTGAGGACGCCCTAAAACGCCGTTTTCCAGGAACTGTAAAACGGTAAAACGGTATTTTGATTTTCGTCAATCCCAGCGGTAAAATGGTAAAAAACTCCGCATACCTATCATATGCGGAAATGAACCCTCAGACATATGTTTGCTTTGGACAAGACAAGTACAATTCCCTCATTAAAACTGTTCCACTGTTGTTTTGACCCGAAATACTGTTTCAATGAGATTTATATAGAACTTTGTATTCTCAGACCACCTCACCTCTTACTAGGGGTTAAGTGCATCGCTAGTGGTTAGCTATCGCTAACCACTAGCAGTTAACCCTGGAGATTTAGCATCGTATGTACTCACCGGGGGTAGGACGGAGTCCCAAGTTACAGGGCTACTGGCAAAAAGGTGTATCCGGATGTAATAATTCCCTCTTTGAAACAGTATTTCGGGTCAAAACAACAGTGGAACTGTTTTAATGAGGGAATTATTCACAAGACAACGGGGGTGACATGGAATTTCACTTGTGAGATCCACCCAATCAATGGGTCGTATAACGGTCAGATTATCCGGTAATAGTGGGCATTTTGGTAGGCCCATGTGGCGGACAAGTGGGCACCTGAAGTGAATATGATCGTGGTTTTATACTAGGCGTTTGTATGGATGTGCCCACCGCCACAATCCGACCCCTTGCGTCGGCACCGATACTTACACGACTACGTGAGCCAATTGCAGGGCTCCGTTGGTCGATTTACGAACGAATGGCATCGGCCGATTTCGTCGTGTGGACGTACGTGCCAAACTCACACGTGAACGACACGACGACGTCGACACGTTCATAAGGGGGCGATCCCGACCATCCTTGACCACCTTCCCACCTTATATAGTCAATAGTTGACAGCCATTCCAACCCTGCCCCTGGATAGTCAGTGAATTTGTGGGGACTGCATTTCGATCTCAATCCTCAGAGCGGGGAAGCAGCTCATCAGCGCATTAGTTGGACAATGTCGTTATACGGTATATGGACTCACCATGGACGATACGGTCGAGAATGACCGACTGTTCTAAGCGATGTGTTGATAGATGGAAGTAAGGAAAATCGGTCATTCACAGATGAAAACTTGTGTCACTGTTCAGCGAAGGTAGTGCTTTGGTTGGGATGCCGATGGACTCGACGTGTTTAGTGAAGTGTGAGCCACGACCACGTTTGAAGGATCCATTTGCTCAAGGGAAAGTGATTACTGGCTTTCCGTCAAATATTACAATATTCTGGCCCGAAACGCCATTTTGGGGCCGAATTTGGGGCGTCTGGTATTTCAAAAATAATATTCCATTTCTTGGCAAAATGGGATAAACGTAAATGCCATCTTCAAAATGGAGGTAAAAGGTCCATGTGACGTTTTGGACCACCTCAAGGAGTAAATCCCACCTGGAATTGTTGAATTTGGGTTAAAACTCTTCAAGCAAGACATGATTCGTCATGATAGTCCTATGATACATACCTGCTTCGACAACAACAGCATCAGTTCGTCGGGGGGAAGCGGTGTCAAGGGATGCAGGACGGGATACTGTAGTGCGAAGTGGAACTAGTGTGAATGTGGCTACAATTACATATTACCTGTACTTGGTATTCTCTGCTTGCAGATCTCATATCCAAGCATAGAACGAACGATGCAATCTCCCGTGTTCTCAATTTCTGTGATTCTGCAATGAGAAATGTATAGAATCTGCCGCGACGGGCAAAATCGGACTTCACTGTCAGCTCGGGATTTGGAACATTTGACATTTGCAAAACAAACTCGATTTTCCATCTCGCAAAAATGCCATTTTCTTTCCATAATTTGCCAGACAGGCCCTTAATGTGTACGAAAAAGTGGAGTTCACAGAAAGTAGTGTACTATACATCGAACGAAAGGGGCCAGAAGTCTTCATGATTCATGTGCAGAACGTCCCCGAGCTTCAGTCACGGCCAGAATTAGTCCCAACGACTTTTACTTCCAAGTTCATCACTACCATTCCCTGTCAACCCAGCCATCAACAAACACGTCCTCCAATGGCGACGCTGGTTCTCACTCCGACGACATCCGAAACATCGCTGTGGGACTTTCCACGACAATCCGTTCCCTTACCCACTAGAGCAATCCGAAATTCAACAAGCCTACCAACAGAAACACCTCAAATCATACCGGTGGAAACAATATGACATTTGCCAGCTTCGTCTCAATCTTTCCAAGCGACATAAATCCACCCCACACTGTAACCCTAGCTCCCACAGGCATAAGAGATTCTATCTCAGTGGAGAGTTTCACATTCTGTCGAGGGGTTGCTGGCTCGTCCTACCAACGCCAACATCCCCGTTGAGCATGATCGAAGTACAGACAACACCATTGCTATGAGTACCACTGCCTTCCCACCTCTACACCCACTCGACCTTTGCCCTGCATTTGACTTTCAAGAGTTTGCTCTTCGACTCGACATCCCAGAAACAGAAATGTGGGTGCGGGCGTGGACGTTCTTTTGCCGCGCTGTCAAAGTTAACGGTTGAGGTCTCAAGCTACAAGGGGTGTTGGTGTTCACCCATGCGTTACTCAACGTTGATCTCCGTCCACCCGCCTCGTTCACTTTGTCGTTGTTTTGAACGAACGTTTTGCCGATTTTCACCAGCGTCCGCACGAAAAATAGCGCCACCAACACACACGCGAGACCCATGATGACATATTTCAAAGACCGACACCGCCGTGAGGGGAACCATGCAAGAAGGGGGACACATTCAAAGGATGCAACTGGCCACACATGGCACCAGCAGATCGATGGTGCTGCTATAAACCTTTGTTACAAGTACACACACAATCGCTACGTACGGATTCATTTTTCATCCTGGAGTGTTACGTTGCAAAGTCCGATACAACTACTGTACTGTTTATTGATTTTCTACCTGCGCTGTACATGTACAGTACACAAAGCAATGTGCTTTCTGAACATACTGAGACTAAATAAATCGACGAGTTAACTGATGGCATCATTACGTCCAATTCGTTCGCGTGGGGAGCCCCTTGGCCCGGAAGGCGGCTATCGGCCCAGCGGGGGCAGCAGCAGCCGCTGGGGCGCTTTCGTCAGCTCGTGGCGCGGCGGCGGGTTGGTCGGGTACTTTGGCGGGAGGCCATTGCTGGCGCGTCGAGTGGGGCACGTCAGCTTGTACTTTAGCGGGGGCAGCCGGTTTCGGCCAAGAGGGGCGAGTGGGGTTGGCCTGGATGTCAAGTGGCGGCACAACCACCCCCCCTTGTTCCCTGGGTTCACGAACGTCTTGGACGGCGGGTTTGGGCGGGGTGGTGGCAGACGGGCGCCTCGTGGCGTGGTCCGGAAGGAGGGGGCCCGTATACCCCGGGAATTTCTTGGTCAGCACGCGACTCAACGCTTGCAAGCAGCGCAGGACCGCGCCTAGGTCTTTCAGTTCAAACAAGTCGACGGTTTCAAAGCAGTCGACGTCCGCGACCCCTAGCGCCCGCGCCGCCGCGAGGAAGTGTTTGATGTTTTGCATCAGTTTAAAGGCAATCGTCGACGACTCAATCTTGATGAGTGGAACCGCGGGTGGGGCGTTGGCGAAGGTTTGCAGAGTGTTCACGTGCAGACACAGCACTTGGCCGTCCTTGAGCCACTCGCCAAACGAGTTTGATTCGTCCTTTGACTGGTGGGTCACTGCCTCAATCCACTCTTGAATCGACCGCTCCAACGCGTAATCGTATTTCGCCGACGCGGCGGCCGCGAGCTCGGCGTCCAACCCGTAGCCCCCTCCGCGAACCTGTACAGGTGCGGCCGCTGGACAAGTGGCCATTGCAACCGATGCATTCACCGCGGGAGACGGAGGTGGGATGGATGACGGCTTGGCGGCAGGGAGGGGTAGAGAAGGCGATGGGTCCGTCAACGCGCTCGGCGTACGGAACAGACTCGGCACGGTCGAGTTGTCGTGGGTGGTGGACGTGGTGGTGGTGGTTGGAGCGGAAGAGTCAGCACCAAACGTGACGCTGCCACTCGTGTCCACACTCGTTCGCTGCATGGTCGTGATGCTCCCCATGTTGAGGAGTGACGTGGCGTGCCTCGCTTCGGCGATTTGCGCGTGGGTGAATGTCCGCCTGTTCTTCGTGGACTCTTTTACACCCAGGGTGGGGCCGGTGTACCCCGGTCGCTTTTGCACGGCCCGGCCGACGGCGTGGAGGCAGCGCACGACGAGGCCCACGTCCTTGAGTTCGAAGAGGTCCACCGTCTCAAACAAGTCGAATTCCGCGACGCCCAACGTCCGACATGCGCGTAGGAAGGCCGAGATGTTCTCCATTTGCTTGAAGGGCATCGTGGACGAAGTAGGTTTGAGCTTCAAGGACGGGTCCAGCGCATTCGCTAAGTCGCACAAGACAACGCCGCTCTTGAGCCCGAGCCCAAAGTCGTCCCCGATGGAGTGGCTGGTAAGCGCTTCGATCCAGTCCTTGGCCTCCACTTCCGACTGCTTGTCGTACTTGGCCAGTGCCTTGTCTGCCAACTGTTTGTCCAGCCCGTAGGCGCTGTTGCCGCGTTGTTGATTAGCCATGTTGGGGTTGGCCGGTTTATCGCAGTTTATCGCCCTACCTAACAGTGGCAAGAAACCCCCATATCCGGAATTCTCTTCAATATCCGAAAAACGTGTGTCAATTTCAACAGAAACTTACATTTATTGGCCTAAATTATGCGAGTAAAATAAGTTGATTGGCTCATTTGCAGAATTACCATAAATACCTTTGGTCTAACGTACTGTAGATGGCCAGTTTAAGGTGCACGAGACAGTACTAGGTGCACTTAAACTGGCCAATGGAACTGCTTGATTTTTGGAATTCCAACCGAATCACTGTAGATGGCCAGTTTAAGGTGCACGAGACGCACGAAACAGTCCAATGAAACTGCTTCATTTTTGGAATACCAACCGAATCACTATTAATAGAACATCACCAAAAAATAAGCAAAACACCTACATACATATTTTAAGCTTAAACCGTGCAACCATAAAAACGGTCCCTTCTTTTTGGAATAATTCCCTCCCCTCATTAACATGTAAGGCCGAGTCTGGATGCTACAGAAATTTTTATGTCAAATAATATTCTGACAAGGAATTCCCTTTTCAAATGGGAGGTGAGAAAATATTTTCAAAATATTTTGGTGTGACCTCTGGATGTCATGATGGAAGGAGAACTATCGATAGAATAGCATGCTGATAAAATTGGACAGTTGCAGTTCAAACTATTTTCTGTCAGAAAACAGTAAAAACTCGACGTATTATGTCACTTTATATATGTCATATGTGGTACCGGTAGCCAAACACACAAAAGATGTCGTTTGAAATTTTTTTATAATACGAAGTATTTATGAAAAGTTGCAAAAATGCAAAAGGTATTTTCTGACATTTTTTGTGTCAGTCAGAGTGGCCCTAAAACAGTTCCACTGTTGTTTTAACCCAAATTACTGTTTCAATAGCGAGGTTTTGCAACTTGTCCAGACCGCATCCATTATTACGCAAGAATCGCTGTATGGATATGGATGGACTGGAATACCGAAATTTTGGTTTTGCAAAATTCCAGACCGCATCCATACTAGTACATACATTAATCCATGCTATTAATCCATGCTAGCACACAAAATTGCATGTATCGATCGAATGGCGTCACGCAGACGTTGGTCACATGCGCCACTATGAACGCCCTCGTCTGTCAATTTGGCGTTGCCCTATAGCATTTCATGTCATAGACAGATTAGAGAGCCAAGAAGAGAATGGACAAGTTGAAACTCAGATCATAGGTGCCAGTATGTAGCGATGTGACAGGTGGGGGTAATACCTTGCCACCACCTTGCCCACACCCAGCTCCTAGGTGCCTGGCCCATGACGCACCCTAGCTAATGCTTGCTTGGGGATGTGGCTCAAGGGCATATATGGCTTAGAATCGCTAGCATAGTGAAGTCCCCCAATATCTCAACCGAACCCGCATCCATTGTATACAAAAGTGCATATAAGCGTATAAATAGTGAAGTAGACGAAGAAGATTTCATAAGGATGATGCCTAAGGAGATCTTAGTAGATCCTCAGCTAATTCATTGTGTATTTTGCCCTCAACTACCTACGCTTCCTCCCGCAGTACTACGAGTGGTAGCACTTCCTGGTCCTCTTGCCCCAAGCCCCGTCAACCCGCCGTACGTATCCAGTCTTCTTAGACGGTTGTGTGGTCGTTTTGCAGAGAATACATATCCCCAAAGGTTTCACCGGAACGACCAAATCGAGCTACTGTTTCATGGATTCCTCGACCAACCCAAGTATACCACGAGGCCCGCATGATCAAGGCTGACAGTGAAGTAAGAGTACATCGAAGTTCGAAGTAGAGTAATTCAATTTCACCAGAATTACAAGATGAATGAAGTTTTGCGCAAAACGACAGAAACCATTAATCAACATGAACAGCTGTTGGAATTGCTTACCCGCTCCCAAGCCGCCCAAGTGGAAGCGAGCGAGCGTATGGCCAGTCAACACGATTTACAAGCTGCATCATCAGCTATACGAATTGAAGCAAGCCTGGTGTGCGAATTTGACAGAGTATGTTGCCAAGTTCGACGAATCTGTACGCAAGTGTACGACATGACCGGGCACGACAAGGTGTCCTGGTTCCAACGCGGTCTGCGAACCAGAACCCGTGAGGAGTTGCAGTATCGTCGAGACTGTGGCTGCCGCGATCCAAGCTGCCCTGGACTATGAGAGCTCCTACGACTCGACCCTTAATGGTGGTCACGCCAGAGACCGCGACCGCTTTCATCGCCACGATCGCCGCCCGCATCAAGGATTTCAAGATTGCCGCCATCAGTTCAAGCACAACAACATCTCACGACATGCCAACCGGCCTCAGCGTCCCCAGCGCAATACACCAAGTCGTTAGCACAATGCCCAAGTAACCGAAGTCAACAGCGACACAGAAGACCGCGAAGATGACGTGGAAGAAGTGATCCTAGGCAAGAACATGGACCTAGCCCAGCAAGACTCCGGGGAGGTCGAGTCGCTTGACATCAATACCGGCAAGCAAGCAGTGCCAGCGCAAGAAAACAAGTTGATGATAGTTCACGGCGCACTCGACAGTACAAGCGTTTGCATCCTGATCGACTCTGGTGCCTCGAACTTGCTTTGCCGCCCAGGCTTGGCCAAGACAGTGATCCGTTCCAAGGAAGTTCAAGCAGAAGGCTTCGATGGACACTGCTCTGGCATCAAGAAAGTGAAGGAAGTATCTGGCACACTTTGCTTTGGTCAATGGACGTTCCCGGATCTTACACTTACCGAGTGGGATCTCGGAAAGAAGGACTTTGACGTCATATTGGGAAAACCCTGGTTCTTTCGTTGCAACCCTGTCATCGACTGGCGTACCCACCAAATCCTCAACGTCAACTCAAGTGAAGTCGAGCCTGAACGAATCGAAGGATGGATGATCAAAGTCACGACGAAAACGGAACCTCAGCAGAAGTTACACCCGCTCGTGGCCAGGGTCGTGGATGAATTTCGAGACGTGTTTCCCGACAAGTTACCCAACACGTTACCACCGCCGCGTGGGATTGAGTTCGATTTGATAATGAAGCCTGACGCGAGGCCCCAGCACCGACCCCCGTTCCGTTTGTCCAAGGTGGAAGCAGGTTCTTTGGACACGTTCGTCGAAGATCGGTTGCAAAAGGGCTGGATCGAGCTCTCGAGCAGCGACTGGGTATCCAACATCTTCGGTGTTCCCAAGCGTAGTGATGATGGTCAGATGCTTTCACGCTGTGAGTGGCTTCGTACCGCCACGCCCGACACCCCTATACGATGGGTGTTGGATTAACGCCATGTCAACTCTCAGTCCATTGTGCCAAAGATCCCGCTGCCCAACATTGAAGACCTGTTTGACCGCATGCACGGATACTGAGTCTTTACGAAGATCGACTTGGCGTCTGGCTACCACCAAATGCTCGTGATGCCATCACCGCGGAAGTACACGCCTTCAGGACCCATCGCGATGTTTATGAATGGGTAGTGGCCCCAATGGGTATGGCAGGCAGGCAGGCCAGGCATTTGGTCTCGCCTTATGCGTCGATTGTTTGACAAGTTCGACTTTGTCGTGATGTACATGGACGACATTTGTGTGTTCTCACGGACGATCGAAGAGCACGCTGAGCATTTGCGTTCAATTTGCACTGTCCTTCGCACCGAGAAGCTATACGCGCGTCCTTCCAAGTGTTCGTTTGGTGTCGACTCTGTCAACGTTTTGGGTCATACCATTTCGAAAGATGGCCTCCAAGTCGACCAGTCCAATGTCCGTGCTATCGAAAAATGGCCGGAGCCTCAGTCGAGCAAAGACGTCATGAGTTTTGTCGGTCTTGCCAGTTACTACCGCAAGTTCATCCCCGACTTCTCGGAGCTCGTCCGTCCCCTTATTAGATTGCTGAAGAAAGGAGCCAAGTTGCACTGGGGCGAGGACGAGCGTCGAGCGTTTTTGATAATAAAGTTCGCGTTGCAGCAAGCCCCTGTTTTACAATTGCCTGACTACAACAAGCCTTTTGTGGTTACCACCGACGCCTCTGGTTTCTGCTGTGGTGCAGTCATTTCCCAGCTCGACGGCGACGGCAATGATCGTCCCGTTGCTTTCATGTCCAAGCGCCTCGGTCCTCACGAACAGAATTGGCCCGCGCACGAAAAAGAATTGTACGCCATTAAGTTGGCTCTAGGCAAGTGTTGCCATTACCAGCATGGCAATCGGTTCGATGTATACACCGCACCGACAATTCCTGATGCAAGTGGTTCATGACAACACCGGTCCTTACGCCCAAGTTGACGTGTTGGCTTGAGTTTTTCAGTTGTTTCGACTTCGCCCTCCATCATCGCCCGCGCAAGTTGAATGTAGTAGCTGCTGCCTTGTCTCGGCCTCGACAGGCCACCTTCACCGTTCACCAGCTCTCAATCCACGCGTGTGGTATCCACTGTGCCTCAGTCGCGGCGCGCATCAATCGACTTCTTGTCCATGCCTCGGCTCTCTCCGCCTACACGACTCGTGACATCGCCGTCATTATCGACTCTCCATTTTGGGGGCAGGAGTTGGAGGAGCAAAAAGGAGTGCTAGTACCTCAACGCCTAACGGTGACCCACTCGAAGCAAGTGTCCTTTAGCACCATCGAGATGGACACCAAAGCCAAGCAACGTTTTCTGATGGCATATGCAAAGGACTCAGGAACAAAGTTGCTGAAAGGTGAAGCCTTCAAGTGGAAGGAAGGACTCTGCTTTCTGCGAAGCCAAGACCAAGCTTGGAAGCTCTGTGTCCCCAATGATGACGTGCTACGCGCCGAGATTTTATCTCACGCGCACGATTCAAGCACTACCGTACACCCTGGAACTCGACGAACAAATTTAAGTGTAGCGCTGTGGTACTACTGGAACACTCTTGCCGAAGACATGAAGTTATACGTCGCGACTTGTGAAACATGCAGTCGATACAAGACGAGCAGTCTGCGTGCAAATCGCAAGATGATTCCCATTCCCGCGCGGAAAAGAGTGTTGGCGAACTGTTTCAGCGGATTGGATCACCAGTTTGCCCATGTCAAAAAGCTACGATACCATTTTTGTCGTGGTAGACAAGCTCTGCAAGCGGCCAAAGTACATCCCGACGAGATCAGATGTCGACGCACCCCAAACGGTGAAGGAATTCTTCGAACATGTTGTTCGCCACCGTGGAGTACCAGCAATGATCATCAGCGACCGTGACCCCAAGTTTACAAGCACGTTTTGGAAGTCCCTCATGGAGATTATGGGTATCCACCAAGCCATGACCACCGCCGGCAGAGCTCAAGCCGATGGAGCGACTAGGCGCCAGAATCCAACTCTCGAAGATGCGCTCGGATGCCAAGTGTCGTATCTAGGACAAGACTGGGTCGACCATTTGCCAACGATCAAGCATGCTCGCCAAGGATTCGTCCAAGCATCAACCGGCTTGACGCCGTGCGAAGTCGACACAGATCGACAGTTGCGCAACCCTGTCGTGAGTGGCTCTTTGCCCAAGATTGACTATACCAAGAATTTTGTGGAACATCGAAAGGTAGTCATTCGGATGGCTCACGAGAGTTTGACGAAGGCCCAGAAACGTCAGAAGGAGTATTATGACAAGGGCCCCTCGAACGTGACCTTCAAGGAAGGCGATCAAGTGTTGCTAGCGACTCGCAACCTGACTCTAAAGCATGCCCAGATGCTCGACAAGTCCGAGTGTCCCAAGCTGGTTCCACGATTCATCGGTCCCTTTGAGATCGTCCAAGCCAGTTGCCTCGCTCGATATCACGTGTGCACTTAAGCACTACCACCCCAAAGCAAGTTTGCCTCCCGGCCTATCTCGAAAGCTACTCCTGTTGTTCTAGTCGAATCCACCGGCGCAGAAATGTACATTGTCGAGAAACTGCTCAAGAAGCGCCAGTTCAGTCGCAAGTTGGAGTACTTAATCAAGTGGCATGGTCAGCCCGAAAGCGAAGCCACGTGGGAACTGATGAAGGACATCAAACATGTTGTGCACTTCAAGAAACCCGTCCAAGGCTTGGAGGTAAGGCGTTTCAACGTGTAGCAAGACGTCAGGGTGTGAATGTAGTGATGTGGCAGGTGGGGGTAACGCCTTGCCACCACCTTGACCGCACTCAGCTCCTAGGTGCTTGGCCCATGACGCACTCTAGCTAATGCTTGCCTGGGGATATGGCTCAAGGGCATATATGGCTTAGAATCGCTAGCATAGTGAAGTCCCCCAATATCTCAACCGAACCCGCATCCATTGTATACAAAAGTGCATATAAGCGTATAAATAGTGAAGTAGACGAAGAAGATTTCATAGGGATGATGCCTAAGGAGATCTTAGTAGATCCTCAGCTAATTCATTGTGCATTTTGCCCTCAACTACCTACGCTTCCTCTCGCAGTGCTACACAGTAGACTTCCCAGCAAATGACATTGGTGACCGATGGTCATGCTTAGCTTACCATCAACATTTGAATGTCGTGGAAAATCGAAAAACTTAATCGATACCTCGATCTACCTTGCTTCATTCACTAACCACGAAGCCACATGCTTCGTGACGAAGCATTAGCCATTTTGTCGACGTTCCCACCACGCAACTAGAATTGTACGGACTGAAATTAACCCGCTAGGATGAACGAGATTTTCCCAATGAGAAGTATTCTTATTGGCAGGATTAGCCAATTAAATCATAGTATTTGGCCCGAATCCCGCCATTCTATTGTCTCTGTTAATGAGAATATTTCTCATCGGGACGAAATATTAATAGCGATTCTGAGTATATTATTATGCTTAGGCTGAACTTGCGCATGAGAAATAAATATTCTCATCGGCAATTTACATAACGTTAGTTTAACCGAGATATTTCTTATGTATACTTGACTTGCACTTTGCTTCCCATCCGAGCGGGTTAATTCCATACAATTGCCCAATTGTGCGGCGAATACAATAAATTTTACGGTTTCCACAACTATGTTTAAGAGGCCTGTCGGGGCGCTGCTATGGTTACAGGGCCCGTAGCCCTGTAACCTGGGACTCCGTCCTACCCCCGGTGAGTACATACTAGTACATTGCTAAATTCCCTAGTAAGAGGTGAGGTGGCCTGAGCATGCAAAGTACCATATAAACACTCAAATTGTAATGTTTTCTGAGAAAAACTACAGTGGAACTGTTTTACAGTAGGGAGGTTTCGAGACGAAGTATTTAAATTTATCTTTATCCTTAAAATAACCTCTGAAGCTTTATAGGAGGGGATAACTCCGGAACTTAGTACCAGAATCCCTCAATTGGGTCCATTTTGGGGATTCGAATCCTCGGCCGTGATTGGCCAGATCTGTTGACTTGGTGCGTGTCACGCCTTTCCGAACGTCCTACAGATAGAACAACTGATCTAACAAAACATGAGTTTCAATCAATTCAATGCTTCGTGTGCCTTTGCCGTCCCTACTAGCCCCAACGCTACAACGGCGAATGACCCATGGATCACTTCACCATGACCTCGCCGATCATCCACGAAGTCACGAATTGGTCTCCATCTAGTCTATGGATAGGGGGGGAAATTTCTCCGAAATCGACGATATAGAATCCCTTGCTTTTACTTTGCTTCCAATTTTTACGGAAAAAGAAAAAGAGTAATCACTCTGGTTAATGAGGGAATTCTATCTTCTTTTCGCCTTGACTGAGTGCAAATTGAAGTAAATGAACGCTAACAGTAAGCTGACAGTGAAGTTTATTCAAGCCGATTAAATAATCAGAAAATGCCCAGCTTTTCAGCTTCATGCAGCACTTTTCAGATTTGAAATCCTGGCCCTGCAAGACGAGTAAGCTACATTCTACGACGACGTCTCTTTTAAGTGATTCCTAAATTGGCCCTCTACGTTAATACTACGTAGTAGTACATACATGAAGTAGTGCCGGCATAACTGTGCTGTTAAAAACTGCAATACCGGATTTCGGGGTCGGTAAAGGTTACAACGGTTGTCCAAAACTTGTTATTCAGTAACGTAGTTATTGGGAAGTGAATCGTAAGGATATGCATGCTGCATTGCAAGTTACAGATTAGTACTGGGGAGTGCACATACGATTGCGATCAGGGCCCATTTCTCTGCTTGAAAACAACGTTTTGCTGGTAGTTTATCACTCCTGCCGCCCATTTTATGGCTCCTATGAGAATGAATAAGTAATTAACTTTACCCGAATTAAGCTTACTACGTTGCAACCAAATTCACGACTGGTCCGCGTGTTTCTGTAGAAGTTGATTACCCACCCCTCAAAATGCAACTCCAAAATACTAACCGAGCATTGCTTATGAGGTCACTCCCAATGTGGCCAGCTTTATTGTTCTAGCGGAAGTGTGGACGCCATGAAAAGTAGTCTTACTGCATTGTGCACTACCGTAGTATTCCAATATACCACAGCCATGAACGAGGACACGTACTAAAGTATTGTATACTACGTACTTCAGTAGTACTATTAATAGTATTTTAATAGGGTTTACCAGTACATATTTAAATCATGACGTTTAAGCTTCGACCATATTGAGTCCCAACATCCCACGACGATGAGGCTTGCCTATTTTGCACACGCTTGGATGTGAATTCTTTGGCCAGCACTTGCAAAATCGAGAAGTCCACGTCGTCTAGGGGTAACATCACGTGGTTCCGGAGGTCGAGGGGGGTTAGATCCGAATTGCACTGCAGACACAGCCCTGCGAACCGCGCGTGAAACGAGCAGCCAGGGGACTTGCAGTACCGACCCCCTCCGTGGGCCACGCATTTGTGGTTGGCGTGGGCTAGCTTGACGCAGCCGTCGACTTCGCACGTCCGCCGCTTGGCCACGCCCCCATGCTTGAGGCAGAAGGCGTTGCCTCGGGCGTGGGCCGTACAGTGTGGTAGCAGACAGATCTTCTTGCCGCCGTGGCGGACGCACAGCTTCCTCGCGTACACTTGGTTGTGGCAGTCAGGCATACGACACTTGCCTCGACCTTTGTGGAACGTGCACTTCATGGACGGCAACGTCGCGGGATGCGGGCAGTCGTTGAAGAGGCACATGAGGACACCAGTTGTACGTGTTGATGGCATGCTGTGAAGTTCGAAGCAAATTGTAAAATGCGTGATGGTACGTTGCCAAAACGTTCGACGCAATCGAAGTGGTACTGGCTGCCCACTGGATGTAATTTGGCTGGTCGACAGACTGGACACACAGTTGAGCCGATGGCAGCGCGCCTAAATATATGTACTAGTACTTATTAACGAATACTGTGTATATGTGCCATAGGTTGACTATGCGTCTCCATGGTGGGTAGACTCGTGGTTGCCATCACTTGTTGATATGTAGTGTGCTCAAATAACCGAAGTGGGATAACTTTTCGGCAGGAAGAGTTTCGAATTTTACCCACTACATTCTTGTTCATGTGGTTTAATCGTCATCGGTGAGTAATATTTGGGCACCGTGGGGGAAAAGTGAGAATCGAATGGCTTCATGTCGTGGGACAACTTGGACGTTCAACTCTACAGGTTGTAGTAGTACATGGGGGGTTGTGGCAATCTATGGAATGGAATGGTCGCTAGCGTTTGTAGTATACTAATATGGAAAGCTAGTTTGTTCGATGCCTGCACGTTGATGTGACGAAAGGAATGAGCTTTATTGAACCTGTTGCGTTTGAAAGTACAACTAAATCTGACATCACAACCAACTGGGGGTATAAAGTACATTTTGGCAATGAAAAATGAACGCGGCTTGGCTGGATGTCTATTGCGTGCGTCGCCATACATACTGACCACCAAGTCGTGCCATGATACTCAGTGTACAGTGCTGTATATTCACTGACTCGTGTTGTATGAATTGGGGCTCCAGCATTTTCAGCTTCAGCACTCGTAACATTGGATGGCCGACAGCTACAATACACTTCTGATAGTAACATTACCAGTACATATCCCCGTGTAGCCTTCGTCAAGGCTACGAGAACCAGGAATGGGGGAGCCCTGTACTGTACCACTTCGAAGTACTAGTATTATCTAGCGCAAGTACAGTACGTTACTGTCGTGACACGACTTGAAAAGGCACAGGGTAACAGTTAGTAACTCAAAAGTTCCTTCTGCAAGGATATGTGAAGACTGCAACTCTGACCACAGCCTGCTTTGCCACGCAATAGAAACTCACTCGGCAAACGAAGGTGAAAATGCAACCGTCGGAATACTGGTATCGTCCCTGGCGACACTGCAAAATCAACCCCCCCTTCAGTAAAAAACTAATGCGAAACCCATAGCAGAATACCGGTATTGTGGACGCATTGACCAAGTCATAGCCTTGGTGCAATGCGTCCACATGACCAGTTTGGCAGACTGTTCTTGTACCACAATCCGAATATTTGCCCTATTTCCAGTTTCCAAATTTAGGGAGTGTATGAAATGCCATACATACAGTACTGTCCTGTAAACGTCGCACAAGAGCAAAATGGGTATGTACCTATGTACTGTACCTCTGCACCTATGTACACATGGAGTCATCAAAGCCTGTAAAAATATGAGTCCAAAACCGCTCCATACAAATCTTCAAATGACTGATGTGAGTGAAATAGCTCTAGAAATCGATAACGTTAGCGCATAATAGAGGCCAATCGCGGATAACGTTATTCGCAAAATTTTCAAAATGTATGGAGGCCAAAGTTGGTCATCATTACACTGGAATGGTCCCAAAGAGACTGAGATCGTCAGCATCGAGTGCCATTTTCTCCATATCTCAGTCAAATCAAAACCATACTGTTGACGGACTGTACCATTCCGATGAATGCCGTATCCGATACTCCGGAGTGGACTGTTAAAAGCATTATTGCATGAGATACAATACTGTACAAAATCTATAAGAATGGTAGTTTGTCGAAATGACTACCATTCTTATAGATTTTGAACAGTATTGAATCTCACGCAATAATGCTTTTACCCTGTTTCCTGATATCCTCTAATAAATGTTACGCAATTGTTGAAATGTAATACATTCTCTTATTCAACAAACCTTTATAATATAATTCAATTTAGTGGATGCTGATGATCACCCAGATATAAACGGAAAAGCGCACTTTCGCAGGATGTATCCAAAACCTCTGATATGCTATAGTAAAACCTCTAAGATATAGATATACAACGTAGTAACCTCTAACACCTTATCATATTCTACAACATACAGTATCACAAGCTTCAGATGACGCGCACCGTACAACCAACCCCCAAGGCTATGAACATCGACGAGGCGGCTACATGTGGTGGGGGGTCATACCCGAACTCCATAACGTTAACGTTAGGCTTGAGCGTGACGGCGGTAGAAAAGTTGACAGAAAAGGTTGGATTAACAGTACACTTCAGTGTTACAGTGGTACAATAGCTCCTCGAGAGAATGAGGTGGACATGGCAAATGCCATGTCAGGTGATTCAAATGTCGTTTTGTACACAAGATTGCCTACTAATAAGTGGACAAAATCGAGTCTGATGTGTTCAAATACTCAATGACGAAGGTTTCACGCTTTCGCCAGAGTTTGCTGAAATACTAACATCTTGGCGATTACCCAACGTGAATCACAGGCAGTAAGTTGTCGGCTGAGTACAGTCATTTGTACGTAATCGGTGCTGGGCAGGTTAGGCAGGTGTAGATATGTAATACTAGTACTCACTAAATTCGTGGAAAGATGAGAATGGATTGGTATCATCGACGACAAACTTCGTGGTGACACACTTCCTGTCCATACGCTACTGTAGTACTTGTACTGTACAACCTCGTCGTTGGACATGTGTTCTGTTGCACTTGCATCGGCTTATGCAGAGAATAATGGCGCCACGTATGACGCAAGACTACAAAGAACAATTTTGAACAACCCAACGGGCTTCACAGCGAAAGCTCAATCAGAAAGCCCTGTACCTGACTGGAGCTGCCCTCACATCTGTGAATGATTGAAATGTCCAATCCGTAGTCCAGGTTAGTGTTCATTTCTGTGCATGAGCATCCACGTACTGGCCGCCAAATTGAGTACATACCGGTTCTGGAACCATATTCATAAGCTGAGCATCCCTGACACTGTAGCTTTGCGTTCATAACATTAATAGTCGAAGCAGGGCTGAGGTGGTGTACAGTTATTCGATTGGGGCTTGAGCCTCAAGCAAAGTGTGCATTGATTGCGCCCCAAAGATCCAATCTGCTCACGAGAAAATCGAACGACAAAGTGGTTGCGTCCAGATGTTCGTAAGCTGATCTTCCACGTGATACGGACGGCGCACTCATCGCCACGTCACATTGACATAGATATGCGAGTGAGCGTCTGGCCACATGCACGTGTGGCGCTGCAAGTCACTCTGACGACCATGAAAAGGACTTCAAGTCCAGTACAGCACTACATATCCAACCAACTCTGGGCACGTTCGCAAGTCTGTATTCGAGCACTACAGTAGTATGAGCCAGTCGTAGAAGGTTGGGAATACTGGTAGGAAGTACTACTAGTATTACTACGTAGTAGTACAGTCCTATTATAATAGTATATTAATACCTGTACTATTAATAGTACTACGTAGTACATACTAACGGTATTGCTATACTTCGAAATACTGTACTACTGTACTTCGAAGTACTAGTACTGTATTAATAGTACTAACGTTATTGATATACTTGAAGTATTATTAATATTATACTACGTAGTAAGTATTACTAGTATTGATTAGTACTATTAACTATTTTCTACTAGTACACCGGAGTACTACTGTACTGAAACTTACTTGTACTAACTGAAGTACTTCGAAGTACTACGTAGTACAAACTTACCAGAAAAAATTCGGTACTGCATCAAACACTACTGTATAATGCTACGTGACTTCTATGTGCGTAGATGCACTTCGGCCCATTGCGCTCCACTACCAAACACCACCAAATACTTCGGAGTAAATTATACCTTTGGAGTTTCCATATCATGTGCTATAGTAGTACTACTCGATGTTACTACATGTCACCAGTACATGCAATAGTAGTACTTGATCGTAATATGAAAGATACGCATTGCCACCAACACGAACACCGATCAAACGCTAGCTCAACTCTATGATTTTCGTGTAGGTTATGTTTCCACTACATTTGGGACTTGGGTAGATGAGTCTTCGTCCTTCCACACCTCTAGTCCGTCAATGTGCACACGCTTGGATGTGAATTCTTTGGCCAGCACTTGCAAAATCGAGAAGTCCACGTCGTCTAGGGGTAACATCACGTGGTTCCGGAGGTCGAGGGGGGTTAGATCCGAATTGCACTGCAGACACAGCCCTGCGAACCGCGCGTGAAACGAGCAGCCAGGGGACTTGCAGTACCGACCCCCTCCGTGGGCCACGCATTTGTGGTTGGCGTGGGCTAGCTTGACGCAGCCGTCGACTTCGCACGTCCGCCGCTTGGCCACGCCTCCATGCTTGAGGCAGAAGGCGTTGCCTCGGGCGTGGGCCGTGCAGTGTGGCCGCAGACAGATCTTCTTGCCACCGTGGCGGACGCACAGCTGCCTCGCGTACACTTGGTTGTGGCAGTCAGGCATACGACACTTGCCTCGACCTTTGTGGAACGCGCACTTCATGGACGGTAACGTTGCGGGATGCGGACAGTCGTTGAAGAGACACACACCAGCAGTGGTGTTGCTGGTGGTGGAGGTCGTTGTTGTGGAGGTCGTCATGTGGGTTGGACGTGGGAAATTGAAGAATGGGTTCGACGGAAGGTTTGGTACAGTACCATTCAGCAGTATGGGCAACGTTATGTACAGTGTAGGCACGTGACCAGCGCCACAATTGGTCCACAGCACACTTTCATTGCGGGAGGGGTGACACGATGATGTTCAACTTCATATTGGATGGCTTTGGCGCTGATTACATATCGAACCCGCGAAAGTGATCGGCAGAGCGACGGACGGTGGATTCGGGGCAATGTGAAACCACCAGAACTTGGAAGGTGGTTCCTGGTTGCTTGAGTTGGTATATATATATATATATGGACACGACTTAGCGTATAGACAACGAAGAAGTGGTGGCGTACTGTACGTAGCTTGGAAACAAACAACCGAGCTCGGATGATTCCAACTTGCCAGGTGGGTATCCTCCAGCTGGATTGTTGGGATTCTTTCGAACTGTTGTCAAAATAACGACAAATATATATTCAGGTACTAGTTCTAGTATGTACTGGACGTGAAATATGATATGGAATCGGTAATTTGACCTAACCAAGCCAGTACTGTAGGACTCGATGAAGTGGACTTCTGATAAAATGGTTGACTCAAGAATCGTGTCACGTGCATGGACGTGACAAGGTTCGGCTGGGACGGGGAAGTAATATCAAAAAACCGATGGGAAAGTAGTATTGGTATACGAGTGCTCCAAAAATGTAGTACTACTACGTAGTATTACTGTACCCGTTCACTGTACTATACTACGTAGTAATAGCGATGAGGCTTTTATCCAAGTCGTATCGAACTATTGGTACGACTTTTCCCAACTTGTTGCATTGGCGGCCACTGAAACCTTGTACGTACTAGTACCATTCGTGTACGGATGACAGAGGTTGTCTGGAACACCAATTGTTATCCGACGGGAGCTTGGGATCGAATGAAACGATGGTATGTACTGTACGTACACCGATGACCGGATTGAGAAATATTAGTGTGGATTCAAAATAAGTGCGGTCCACAGAGTTTTCAGAATTTGTGATTGGTCATTAGTGATATTCGGTGTTTCGGGTGCATGTCACGATGCCCAATTGCTCGTGCAGTCATACAACGCCATCGAATATATGGTATAACGACCCAAGGATATGATGTGTCTGCTCTATTAACTGTTTGTTTATTGTGGAGTCGGCACATATTTCCAGGCCCCGTCGAATCGAATCTCGCCGCCGAATCGAATCACGAATCGACGCTATTGGCTGATCCAACTTTTAGTGGATTTGATTGGCTCTTACAGAAGGACAAGGATATTCAACCAATCAGAACTCCAACTTGATTCAATATTGATCAGGAACGAATTCACAATAACGTTACATTCGCGCGGTAAGCCTGATTAATTGTAAAATTGAATCACGCTGGAGTTCTGATTGGTTGAATGTATTTGTCCTTTATGTAAGAGCCAATCAAATCCGCTAAAAATTGGATTAGCCAATAGCGTCGATTCGCGATTCGATTCGGCGGCGAGATTCGATTCGACGGGGTCTGGAAATATGTACCGACTCCATACTGTACATCAATGCTGATTTGTGATGTTTGATTCTGTGACAATTTCCTCATACAAATATCAAGATAATAGTCCATTCTAATTTTTCTCAATATACTAAAATTGGAACAGCCCTCTTACTACAGATTGCGATATACTACTTCAAAGTACAAATGTACACTAATACATGTGCCATAAATCTGGTGACGAGGTTGAAAAAATGAGTGCAATCTGCTCTAATTACGGTCGACGGTGTATAGTACTACGTAGTATACTAGTAACTATCAGAAAACCAAACTCAATAAACTCACCACGAGTTTTAGTCAGTCGTGTTTACTCGCAAAGTCTCAATTCGTCGGGGTACATACAGTAGCGTGATTCGACACCCTTTGGCGGTGTCTGACGGGTAAAACATTGCCAATTTGTTGTGAGGGCCATCTACACAGCATGTCGTTGCTTCTTGGAGGGACGACGGGGGGCCTGCGGTTCGGCAGTGTAGGCGTAAGCAGGAACAAGGCGGATAGGTGCAGATGTCATGAGGGGCTTGGGGGTCGGTTTGGGCGGAATCGTCGGTGGACACACGGGGTACGCACAGTCCAGCTTTTCTAACTGGTACACGTTTGCGCCGCCGGGGCACTCGAGGGGGATGTTCTCGCACGTCGTCCGTTCGCTCAGACCTGCTTTCCAGATGAAGCCGAACACTGGCAAGGCTCCATTAGATACCCCCACGAAGGATGCAAGCAAGGCGGCGATGACCCACATCATTGCTGATGGCCTGCGCAAAATATACAGTCAACTCTTAACCTCCATGGTGACTGCCGGGCTTTGGTTTCTACGTGGTCGACATCCGGATGAAGGTGAGTTTTCCGGATGTGAGATATTTATCCCGGTATCCCTTTAGAAAGGTATATATCATATTTCACAGGTATTTGGATTGTTGGGACCAACTGTGACCAGGAAGCTCATCTTGATGGCGACGAAACGCAAGGGCGAAGAAGACGCGACGGACGAGCGTCATGTGATGCGCATCATGCCGCTTGGTGCAGGTAACGAAGTGGGCCGGTCGTGTATCATCCTCAAATTCCAGGGCAAGACGATCATGCTGGACTGCGGCGTGCACCCGGTAAGTCGTTTATGTGGTCCAGTGTTGTCATGATGATGTAGGGATACTCTGGGCACGGGTCGTTGCCGTACTTTGACTCGGTGGAGGCAGAGGAGATCGACTTGCTGTTGATCACGCACTTCCACATCGACCACGTCGCGGGACTGCCGCACTTCACGGAAAAGACGGGGTTCAAAGGGCGCATCTTCATGACACATCCCACGAAAGCCGTGATGCAAATGATGCTTCGGGATTTCCTCCGCGTGTCCAACATCAGCGTGGAGGACCAGATCTACGACGACAAGGACCTCGAGCGATGTGTTGCCAAGGTCGAAATCATCGACTTCCACCAGGAGAAGATGATCAACGGCATCAAGTTTACGCCGTACAACGCCGGACACGTGCTGGGCGCGTGCATGTTCCTCATCGAGATCGGCGGCGTCAAAGTACTCTACACAGGCGACTACTCCCTCGAGAACGACCGGCATCTCATGGGTACATATGCAGTCTCACATGTCCCACCTACTTCCGATACGATTCGACCGTATATTCGTGTTCCATGTATCCATAGATAGATACATACATAGATATGCATCATATAATCGTCAATTGATCACTTTTGACGAGTATATATTATATATATATATATATTTACTTTGGAGTGCTTTCTATATAACGTTATCTTTGGACTTGTTTATATATATATATATATATATCCATATCGTCACATGATCCGTTTCAATGCCACATGAGTTGTACGCACTCTTGTCACGTGATCCGTTTTCAAGTAGTGCGATTACACAGTATCATATATATATATATATATATATCGATTCTGTGCCCTTCTTTGCCTATATATATATCGATTCTGTGACCTTCATTGCCTATATATATATATATATATATATATATATATATTTACGCGTGTATCAATCCTACTTTTCTATGCACTCTATTTCCGATGTACTCCATACCTATTTTCTTTCAAACGTGTTGGCCTATATATATATAATACTCCAATCCTACTACTAATTGTCCACTAATACTATGTATGATTGTAGCGGCCGAGATTCCTGGCGTGAGTCCTGATGTGCTGATTGTCGAGTCCACTTACGGCGTCCAAGTGCACCAGAGCGTGGTGGAGCGAGAGGGGCGATTCACAGGCCAGGTCGAGTCGGTGGTCCGTCGCGGAGGGCGGTGCCTCATCCCCGTGTTTGCGCTTGGGCGGACGCAGGAGCTGCTGCTGATTCTAGACGAACACTGGAAAGCTCACCCGGATCTGCAGCACATTCCCATCTACTTTGCTTCCAAGCTGGCGGCCAAGGCGCTGCGCGTGTACCAGACGTACATAAACATGATGAACGACCGCATCCGCAAGCAGATCGCCATCTCGAATCCGTTCCAGTTTGAGTACATTTCCAACCTCAAGAGCCTCAAGGATTTTGACGATACAGGCCCAAGTGTTGTGATGGCGTCGCCTGGTATGCTTCAGAGCGGCGTGTCGCGGCAACTGTTTGAACGGTGGTGCTCGGATAAGAAGAACGAATGCCTCATTCCAGGTACAAGAATAGATAGCATGTGTTCATCTATTTTCATCTATTTTATGCATCGAAACATCCTCGTATATGTTCATCTATCATTTATTAAAGACGAATGGTCGTCATCTATATTCCTCTATTATTTACCCAGGAGTCGGATGGATGAAAAGCAAAAATATATTGATTTTTGCATGTTATAAACGTAGTTGACGATCTGGGGTGTAAGAATACTGGATATATATATATATATATATATATTCTTTTCGATTCTTGGCGTGGAGGTGTGGGTGGATGGATTATCATAGCTGCTCTCGCATGTAATAGTAGTAGTACGTACTTGTAAATGCTATTGTGCTAATACCCTTTGAGTAAATTATAAGCTGAGAGCCGTGGACTCGAGATTTAAGCTTGCAAAAACTATACTATACAATGTGTCGTATATATATCCCATGTTTTGCCCAATGCAGACGGACCTGCAAGATGTAGCACTTGATTGGTTGAAATTCTTACCCGAACGTGCTGTGATTGGCTATCGGCGATTCTTTCATTATTGCTCGTACGACATACATTATTCTGCTACCGACTGGCTCGAGTCGTTTGAATCGATTTGAAATGGGATTGTCTATCTTTTACCCAATGATTTGGTTGATTTGGTTGACTTTTGATTCTTTGACTTTTGTAAAGTTCGTCACACTAATTTCAATCACACACACTAATTCAATGTTGAATTATTCGAACAGTGGATGATTTGATTGGTTACTTGATCAAAAATCTGGGTTTTGATTGGTCGTATATCGATTCTCTGCCTTCGATTGGGTACTCCTCCGACTCGAATTTCGAATCGAATGAACAACAATATCAAGTCATTGTAATTGTGTTGAGTAGTAATAAATTGACAACAATGGATATGTGTCTTGATTATACGATATATGATGGAAATAAATATATATAAAATATATACAAAAATACAGAATACACTATTTTTAAAATATATAACGATTGGCTGTATACGTACGTATAGGGTATGTCGTGGAAGGAACGTTGGCCAAGAAGATTCTGTCGCTGCCAAAGGAGATTACGTCCATGGACGGCCGGCTGTTGCCGATGAATTGCTCGGTCGAGTACATTAGCTTTTCCGCACATGCAGATTTCGTGGGCACGTCTGGATTTATCGAAAAGGTACCCAAAACGGACGAATCACCATGCCCGATTTGAGCTTTTTTTTAGTAGAAATTGACGCTTTTTTTAGGTTTTTTCATAACAATGGTGTCATTTGTGTGTATATATATGCTGACGTTGTGTCGCCGTTGATTTGACTGGATTGGATAGTCGAATGGTGAAAAAATACAAAATATTTTTATTATCCCCAACACACGTTGGACTTTGATATTGAATCGCCAACAACTATAGATCGATTGATTCACACTAATTTCGGACTATCTCACACTAATTCTGACAATCGTGTGGCTCCTCCAATATGGTCTCTTTGGCACTATACTTACTTTTGGTGGTTTTGTACCTATCGAGTCTTCATTCATCATTCATTCTCCGTTGTGTCGCGCTCCAGTGAATAAAACACATAGCCATCCTAATATATATATATCTTGAGCGCAGGTAGCGCCGCCCCATATTGTGCTCGTCCATGGGGAAAAGACAGAGATGATGCGTCTAAAAGCTGCTTTACACAAGAAATTCCACAACCCCAAAGTGTACCAGCCCCAGGTGTACACACCAGCCAATACGGTGGACGTGGTGCTCGAGTTTCGTGGTGAAAAAGTCGCCAAAGCGATCGGCCGGTTCGGTTTTTCCTATCTAAAATATCGTGGATTGTTTATATTTATATATACTTCATTTTATACTTGTATATTTTTATTTTATATGTTATATACTTCATGTTATACTTGTATATTTTTATTTTATATACTTCATTGTATACTTGTATATTTTTATTCTATATACTTCATTGTATACTTGTATATTTTTATTCTATATTTTATATACTTCATTTTATACTTGTATATTTTTATTCTATATACTTCATTTTATACTTGTATATTTTTATTTTATATTTATATATATATATATAGGATGGCGACTGATTTGGCAGGCCATGCCAAGCTAAAGTCGACGGAAAAGACCAACATGAGTGGGCTCCTGGTCGAGCACGACTTTCATACGCACGTGATGCACCCCCACGACCTGAGCGAATACACGACCAACTTGCTCGTGGGCACGATTGCGCAAAAGCAGCACGGTACGCTTGAAATATATATATATATATTATAAATATATATATATATAGTGCCGTTCGTGCACCAACCATTTGACGTGCTCGTGCTGCTGGTGCGCCAAATGTACGCTGATATCAAGACCACCCACGACACGATCATCGTGGGTAACTGCGTGATGGTAACCCACTGCCCCCCAGAGAAAGTCGTGATCGAATGGACGGCGGACCCCACTGCCGACATGATTGCCGACTCGATCGTTGCCCTCACCATGCACGCGCAAGCCAGTCCAGCCAGTTTCAAGGTACCAGTAGATATATTATGATTCAGTACAAATGCATTGAATTTGAGATATATATGTATATTCGTGATTGGAAAGAATGTGTTGTTGTCTGGAGCGTCGATTGATGTGCTTGTGGCCATGGAGGCAATGGTACGTGCGTTAAAATGCGGGTATTGTTGTGGTCTATATATATATATATATACATATATAGACTATATATATATATATGTATACAATATATGTACGTTGAACGATCAAGTTCAAAATAGGAATGATATCATGTATGGGGTATATTGGTAGTGTGGATATCTATCTATGATCATAATATCATTTGTGTGACACTTTGGCTCGATGCATGTGTAACAAATGAGGTTTCTTGCACCTTCCAAATGTAAAGTCTCTTGTGTCGACGTACTGATCATCTTTGGATTGTATTGGTTGCGAGTCGCATGGTTGCCTATATATATATATATAATGGACCATCGTTTGATATATATATACATATATATATATATATATAAATACATGTGTATGCTTTATAGATTAGCATGCACCCGACGGCAGCGTGTCGACATGACCACTCAGTCAAGGCAGAGACGCCGCCATTGAAGGAAGAGGCCGACCATATGCCCCTGGCGGCCGCGGCGGACGAGGCGGACGTGACGCGCGCCATCGAAAGCCTCGCGGACGAAGGCGACGTCCAGGCTCTGCATCTGATTCTGGTCTATCGAGTGCTCAAAGACCAATATGGGCGAGTGGAATTGGACCATGGGACGAATGTGATGACGATTGAGACCCCCGGCGGCGTCAAGGCCCAAGTCCGGTACTTTGGGCCAAAACAAGAGCGGATTTCGTGTGAAAACAGTGCATTTCACGACAAGCTGCACGATACCCTTGCGAAACTGGACCAGGCGCTGCAGCCGATCGAACCCGCCGACTTGTAAAGTGCTGAACGACCGATCATGGATTCAAGTATTGTAGTTAAGGCAGCTAACTCCCAGCCAGATGGGGAAATGAATATATATATATATATAATGAGTGAATATATATTATATATATATATACTGTAGGGGGGATGAATCCACCTTAGCTCGTACTACGTACATTGGTCGTTGATCTGCCCCATGAAATACAACATGGGAACAAATACACTACTACTTCGTAGTGACTAAATGTCACCTCCAATCGAATTAATAGTACATACAGTAAAGCTATGTCTAATTCTAAAAGTATTTTATATTCATTTAGACAAAATCCGCATCTTCACGTGTATTCTTGGATTCTAATGTCGATTTGATACAAATTTGGGGAGGGACCAAACCGATCCACAATCGATCTGATTGGTTGAATTTCATTGAGAAGGTTTTGATTGGCTCATAATTTTGAGCTCATCTGAGGTAGCCAATTAAATCGATTAAAATTCAACGAGAAACCGCGCCACAACACAATGAAATGTCACTCGAAAGCACAAGTTCTTTCTGGGTTAACAGAATACGACGAGATGGTATTATTAACTTATGAGTACTATATAGTATTATAATTCCCTCATTCTTAACGTTACTGTACGTAGTACGGACTAGAAAGTGTATCCAGCTGCCATCATTCCTTCATTTGAAACAACCTTTGGGGTAAAAATGAGTACGTACTACTGTGTGAAGGAGGGTGAATGATTCGTTGGACCTGGGAAGTTTGCACTGGATTCACGTCAAATATGGATAGATTCTGAAGCAAGAGAGTAACGTTACATAGTTAATCGAAAAAACAAACACAAACAAACGTTAACGGTTGGCGAATAATACCTTGAACGAGCACTTTCGAGTTGCAACTTCTTTTGCCCTTGTTGGTCAAAGTAGTACGCTAAATTGGCATATTGGGACCACATTTTTCCTTTTTAACATATAAATACTACTATTTTAATAGTAGTATTTATACTAGAACCATACTATTAAAATAGTATGGTTATATACCACTACTTTGAAGTATGAATACATATACTACTAGTACTATTAATACTTAAGACTTACGGGATATTAATACCAACCTTGGATACTATGGTTAATATAATATAATTGTTGCATTAAAAGCATGGATGACATATTGGATGAAATTGGATGAAGTAGCCTTGCGTACAGATTTGTCAAGAAATACTACTAACGTTAACTTACAGCAGGGACACAGCACTGCGCCTTGTCACATGTCATCAGATATATGCATACAAACGTTAGCATAAAGCACAAGAGATAACATCCTCCAATCACAGTGCAGGGTGATAGGACACACAGTGGGGCTCGGAACATGAATCCAGTAGCACAACCATGTTGTCTTTCTTCGAGGCAATCATCTCATCATGGGTCTGTGCCAAGGCAGAGAGGTCGCAATGGCGTCCGTAATGGTGACGACGACAGCAGCATCACAGAAGAAGGCAACCACTATATCATCATCATTGACCGCCGTCGCCGTTGAGCTCGGGGTCGCCTTGCCACCTCGTAGCCCAAGCAATGCCCACGCCGCGGCGGCGCGCTTGTACTGCATGCTGCCGCCTTCTGACCCTCTCTTCGACGACATGGATTTCATCGACGCGCCAGACGTCATCACCACGTCGACATCCATGGACATGAGCAGCGGGCCGTTTCGCCACGTTGCAGCCTTAGCCGTCCAGAACAAGTCGTTCAAGCCGCGCATGGAAGACGTGTGCGTGATCCAGCCGAATCTTGGCGCCGACGTTCAGTTCTACGCAGTGTACGATGGGCACGGCAGCCCCGTCGTGTCGACTTATTTAGGCCAGCACCTCCACGTCGAACTCTCGCGCCAATGTTCGCGCACACGTAGTAGTAGTAGTGGCTGCTCTGCAACCATGATGGAAAGCGCGGTAGCCAACACGTTCGAGGCTATCGACAGAGCGCTCGAGCCCCTAGACGCGGCCGACCACTGCGGCTCCACCGCCGTCGTCCTCGTCGCCCATGGCAACCACCTCGTAACAGTAGCCAACTGCGGCGACTCGCACTGTTTGCATGTGAATGCTCAGGGCGATGTGCGCCGGCTCACGCAGGACCACCACGTCCGCAACGCTGCTGAAGTGAGTCGCATTACGGGCGCCAACGGCATGATCGTCCGCCGCCGCGTGTCAGGCGTGAGCAAAGTGACGAGGGCGTTCGGGCAGCACAACGAAAAGGACTTTGTGATTGCCCGTCCTGCGATCGCGACGCTCTCGCTAAAAGAACAAAATCGTCCCTCATTACAAGCACAGGGGTACTTTGTGCTCATGACGGATGGCATCTCCGACGTGTTAGGCGACAACGAGATCGCCGCGTACGTCGACATGGGGCTCGCCATGGGCTGGCACGTCGACGCCATCTGTCAGACGCTGGTCGACCTGTGCAAACTCAAACGCACAAGGGATAACCTGACTGTGGTCATTGTGCTCGTGTAACCCCTGTATCGTAGAACTACAGTACTACAGTACCTTATTTATCGTTGAAACCACTTGGCTTTGCAGACACAAGGGCAATTTATAGTCCAATTCGTAGCCTAACATGTAGCCCAACGTGTAGCCCAACGTGTAGCCCAACGTGTAGCCCAACGTGTAGCCCGAAGTGTAGCCCAATGCGTAGCCCGAAGTGTAGCCAATTTGTAGCCAGGTAGCCAAGCTCGAACTTGGTGTGCAAAGAGAGTAGCCTTGGCACGATCAAGAGGACAGTTTTGACGAATATGGATGGCGCGCGCTAAAGTAGTATATATATATATTATATATATACAAATTTCCAGACTTCGTCGAATCGAATATCCCGCCGCTGTGAATCGAATCACGAATCGACACTATTGGCTAATCCATTTTTAAGCGGATTTTTGATTGGCTCTTTCATAAACGACAAGTATATTCAACCAATCAGAACTCCAGCGTGTTCAGTATTGATTCAACAATTCTAGCGAATCTACCATATATATTATATATTATATGGGTGCATGGAACCTATCTACTACTAGTATTGACATAGCTTAGTCGCAAGTGATGGGCTTCCCTACCAAGTTGGATGTTCGTGTACACCCTATCTATGTACATCGCGTCTGCCAATCGTTAAAAGTGCACAACAGCAGTAGCCCTCATATCTTCTTGCCCTCTTCTTTCGATTAATGACTGAATCAACTAAGTACACCGACCAGGGTGGTCCCGGCACCACTGCGGCTGAATCGCATCGGCGTGGAGCCCCCGACGGACCATCCGGCGCCGCTGGCTTTGCAACCGAACGACGGCGTCCTCCCACGACGTCACCGGATTCGACCACAAGCGCTCGGCGGCGGCAGCCGACCGCGGCCACAATTTGACGTCCGCCGAGTGTTCGTCGGCTAATTCTGACCACAACGCCGCTAAATAATGATTTTTAGGTCATAAAAATGCATACCATTATTTGTAAATCATTCGAATCCCTATACATTATCAATGATGAACGGGGGTATATTTATTCCTATTGTCAAATCGATTCGAAACCCGGATCGACTAAAGAACCGTCTGAGCCAATCAAATCACGTAGTCATGTCAAATTTCTGCCAATCCAAACGTTGGATTGGGCAAAACCAATATTTATATCCTGTTCGTTGTATAGTATAGTGTGTACAAGATGAAATTGGATCAAAAGTGGATTCGAATGGTATTTGGTCAAATCAAAATACATATTGTCGAACACTGACCAAACCGATCCACAATCGATCTGATTGGTTGTTGAATGTCATGGAGAAGGTTTTGATTGGTTCATAATGTTGAAGAGTAGCCAATCAAATCGATTTAATCGAGAAACCACAATGAAATGTCACTCGAAAGCACAATACAGTTGGTGAACTTACTCTCGCCGCCAAGTACAAATGGATGCAAATCGGGGGTGAGACCTGCGTACATATCGACTCCATAGACGACCTGCCATGATTTGAACGGGTCGCACCAGCTTGTGCCGTTTGTGAGCCAGTTGCCGTGGCCACAATCCAGATACCACTTGTCGTAGTTGGATAGCACGACGTGGTAGCCCAGTTTGGCAAATGTTGCTGCAGAACTTGCTGAGGTAGTTGTAGAGTCCCAGATTTGAATCACATAATCGTGTGGCGCCAGGTACCGTTGAATCCAACTGGGGTGAGTCAGATCGCTCGTCCATATCATGACCTTTTTGTGCCTTGCTGGTACTTTGCGGTTGTGGATTTGCACCAGTAATGCATGCACTTTGGCCTGAAACTCGCCCCACAATGATATAAAGTCGGCCGGTTCCCGCGACGCCATCCCGTCTGTGATACTCTTGGTCATGTTCCAACACCCAAAATGCACTTCGTCTCCGCCCATATGCACCAAATCTGCATCGAATAACGCGTCGAATTCCCCGTAAATCCTACAAATTAGGCTAAAATCAGGCCAAACTCACGTAAAAACACGGCGTACGTGTCTAAAATGGGGAAAATCTTGTCGTTTTTCGGGTTGAGCTGGCCACACGGAGGCTGGACACAAGCCGATTCCCAAGGAAGATGGTCATAGCATACGACCAAGTCGCCCAGCCCTGCTGCGTGGCCCCACTGCCACCCCGCGCCAACGTGCGCCGGCGCGTCGAGCTCTGGAATCACTCGAATTCCGCGTACTTTGGCTATCAATAGGTGCTATAGTTTGTGTCACTTTTGAAACAATAGGGAAATAGATTGACATGTACCATAGTGAACAAGCCCGCGAATGTCCGCTTGGGTGTACACCTGTCGCGCACTGTACGCGCCATACGTTGTTAGCCGGGGCTCGCCTGTATCAAAGAGTCAATCGGAGATAAAATATAAAAAAAACTCGAATTTAAAGTGTCAATTGAAGCCAACATTAGAAAAATAATATCGAAATATAAAACTCGAAACAAAAAACTGATGTAAGACACAAGAAGCATCGGCAGAAGGATTAGCCAATCCGATTGCAGGAAACCATCCTTAACGTCAAATTAGTGTGTGACTTCAATTAGTGTGATACCAAACAACTTTTTACATACAAAATGTCAAGAATCGATCGATATCGATAAATTTGGCGATTCGGCACAAAAGTCAGCGAAATTTTTAAAAACAAATTGGGTAAAAGGGCAAAATATTATAGTGATGATTGATTGATTACCAATGATTTCAATGGGAAAGCTGTTGGTGTCGGTAAAATGCCAGTGGAATGTGTTGAGTTTGGTCATGCTCATGCCGTCCAGCACGCGCTTGATGGCGCCGACCGAGTAAAAGTTGCGACTCGTGTCCAACGTGATGCCGCGGTGCGGAAACGCGGGGCCGTCGATGATCCTGGCGCTGTGCACGAGCTGCATCGTGTGCGAGATGTCGTCGTACTCCATGAGCTGGCTGAGCGTCGTCAAGGCATGTCGGTACCCGAACACGGTGATCGCGGCGATGGTCACGTGCGGCGTCGAGGTCAAGTTGACCGTCAGCGAGTATGTCTCGTTCGTGTCCACGCGCAGACGCTACAGAAGATGAGGGATCGGTACAGTTTAGGTAGATGGATGTGTCGATGTACCTCGTCAGCGGTGGTGATCGTGGCCGAGATGGAGAGGGGGAGGGGTGCCGGTACTGCAACGGACGTGGTGCACTCAGCGGCTTTGGATTGCAGTATGTCGAGGAAGTTCGCGTGCATCGCAGGAACGAGAGCGCTGTCAAAGTTGGTGTGGTCGAGAAAGGAGACGGAATGGGAAATGGAAGCAATCGAGATCGACTGCACGGACGGACTCACGTGCACGCGCTGGGTGGGTTGAGGCCACAAGCTCCCTTGGCCACAGGTCAGTTGGCAGATGGAAAGCGACGTGCCGTTGGCCGTGAAGGAGATGGCTTCCTGGACGCATACGTTGGCTTTGCACTGGTACCTCTTTGGGGGCACCGCCAATCCACTCGCAACGGACAGCACCGCCGCCCATGTCAACAGCACTATCATGACAAAATTGGATATCGCCCAAAAGATCGCTAGCGCAATTCTGATTGGAGATTAATATTGTGTTTATCCGGATATCGTCCTTTATATACAAACAACCCCGAAGCGACACTTCAACTCTATGAACGACGATAAGTCCAACAAGGACGGCGCCGCGACCGCGTTGGACTCCATGACACTCCCGACGGCGATTCTCAAGGACGACGGAAGCGACGAGTTCTCTCCGCGCATAGGCGGCGACACTCCGTTGACGCTGATGGGGTCTGTGGTCGAGTCGTTGGAGCAGCTTTGTCGATCGTTTGAGGTCGAGTGCGATCAGCGATTGAGTCGCATGCAGGTTCGCGTGGACTCTTCCACAGCCGCGATTCCTCGCATGAAGGCATGGGTGGCTCAGCAGCACGAGACGACCGCATCGCTCGAGGCCCAGCTCGTCGAGAGTGTCGCGAAATGCAAGTCCGTGCTTCAGAAGTGGACCAAAGAGAAGGAAGACCGGCGCAATGAAAAGGAATGGATTGCCGACCTTTGGCCTGACTTTGTCGTGGTGCCACCTACGATTCTACGACCGTTCATGAAGACTACAGCATCTATGGACGACAAAGCCCAGCTCGGATTGGATGCAACGATGCAGCTGCGCTTGATGGAGCAAGGTCGACTCGTGCAAGAGCGCATGGCCTTGGCTAGCCAATGGTCGGCGGTCGACAACTACTTTTATAACGCAGTGACTGGGGAAAGCTGCTGGGAGCCACCTCCCGCAATGACATACGTGGCACCCACTGGTTGGGACGTTGCTAAAGGCAAGTGGAAGCCAGGGGTGCAGCTCACTCTCGACGCCGACACTCTGTCAGCAGCTCAATCACCAAATAAAGTGGATGCTACGACCAACAACAACGATAGCATTCAGGCGTTGAACACGTCAACGATCAACTCGGCAAGAGAAATATCGACATCGACAGACAGCGAGGCGGACGCGCCACTTTTGGACCCCATCTCCCTCCGCGCCCAAGTAGAATCCGAGCATCAAGTGCTGGACAGACTGCACAAGGACGTAGCGTCGTCCACGTTGCGTCTACAGACGCTGAGCCACCAGCTGCAAACCAGCATCCGGCGCCATCTAGACAGCGAACAGGCTGGCGTCCAAGCCGAGTACGATGCGCTAGTCGAGGCGGAGCGAAAGAAGCTGGCAAAGGAAGCCCGGGATCGCCACGCAGCTGCGATGGAAGCTCAAGCCAAGGCGAAGAAGCAGCAGGCAAGATCATCATCATCACCGCCCAAGAACAAACTGCAGGCCGCCGAGCTCGTGATAGATGACGTGCCCGAAGCGGCGCTTGTGATTCCAATCGACCCGACGCGGCTGCGGCTGTGCACACCCGTGAGCCACGAGCCAATGGTCCAGCTACACACGACGAGTGATACCATGTACTTGCACATGGAAACAGTACAGAGACGGGTAGATGCGTTGGTGAAGAAGGAAGATTTAGCGTGGGAAAGCCACGATGCATTTCGAGACTTGATTGAAAAAGACATCGGGCAGGCCAAGCAAAAGCTCGACGCTATGCTGTTAGATATCCAAACGTGCAAACATACATTGGAAACGAGCCAAGCGCGGCTAGAGTGCCTCAAAACCCAAGAAGCCCCCCCTATGCCGATATTACAACCCACAACAACGACGATGATGACAACTCGTAAGACAGCCAGTGCCATATTATTGTATATATATATATATATATATATATATATATATATATATATATATTCGGTAGAGTTACGGGGCTCTATTGTAGCCACGACGGGAGACGGGAATGATGATAATGACAGGGGCAAACTATTGGCATTCGAACAGTACGACCGGGACATGCGAGCATGGGAAGAGGCGGAAGTGAGTCGCCGCGTCGAGTGCGAAGATCTGGTTGAAACCATCGCGGATATGCAGACGCGGCTCAACGAGGCGGCGACTGTGGACCGCATCTGCGACGAGGTTTCGTTTCTGGAGGCGCTTGAAAAATGCGAAGCCGCGCGGGGCGCGGGGTTGTGGGCAAAGAAGAAAGAGTACGAAATGTGGCGGACCAAAGTGATGCTGGATCGGGTGGACCGGTACATACGTGTGTGTCCATTCGTCTGATTCGCAGAGTCTCGTACATACAATGTGTTGTGTTGACTATGGATCGTCTGATTCGTGAATGTCATCCCTTGTCAACACGTGATTCTACATGCATGCGAGCGACATCTGATTCGGTGGGAACGGGGTCCGTGGTGTCGATATCTGATTCCTGATTCGGAGTCGAGTTTGCGGTATCTGATTCGCGAATCATCGGTCGTCGTCAACAGTGGTGGACATCACACAATTTGAAGTCCCGCACGAATTTGACGTTGAGATATGGTTGTTCAATCCATGCTCCTGCCGATGGTCTTGTGTAATGTACTACATTTGGATGTGTCGATATATCCTTCTCCAAATCTGATCCGAATCTGATTCGTCCTGGTCCAAATCTGATTCTCACGGGGTCGAATCTGATTCGTACGGGTCTCGACTAGCGAGGAGCGGTTGGTGGCGCTGGCGCGGGACTTGGGCGAGTTTACCGCCCACTTGGACGCCGCCGCGCGACTTCCTCTGCAGGCCATCAACATATTGGAAAAGACTCGTCTGGAGGGTCAAAGGGATGACCAAGTGGCGTACTACACGGCCAAAATCGATAAAACAACCAGTGCGATCGTAGCCAACGAAGGCGCCAAGGCCAAACTGATGGACATGGAGCTGCGCGCGGTCGAGTTCCACGGGCGGCGGCTGGACGAGGAGATGCAGCTGCATGACGAAACCAAAGGCGTGTGGATGCGACAGAGGGCCACATGCGACAGCGGCCAGCAGGACGTGTTACGGGCGTGGCTGCTGTTAAATTACACGCGAGAAGGGCGATGGAGAGAGCTCGTATCTTATGAACAAATTGACCGGACTTGTTGGGAAGAGCAAGACCAGTGGCTAGTGTCCCAGCAGAAAAGCAGGTATATCTACTTATATATATCTACTGATATATATATATGTATATATATACTGTATATATCATGAAGAAGAGTATTCAGTCTGGGTGATATATATATAATATACATATACGATAAATAGTATGTATATATATATATATATATATATATATGATAAATTATATATATATATATGATACATAATAACAATATATATATATGATAAGTAATATATATATATATGTGTGTGATAAATAATACATATATATATGATAAATACATATTAGGCACGAGGCCACAGTGGCAGCATTGGAAGAAAAGCATGCCGTCCACGTATTCGAGTTAGAACAGGAGATTGCGAAATTGGACGTCGCGTTGAAGCTTGCGATACAAAGCAAGTGCCAAAGTGATATTGACAAGGCGCATGTGATGGAGTTGGTTACCGTGGTATGCAATATATTTTGGATTTGGTATAATTTTATATATATTTATGATAGGCCGATGATTTGGTGGAAATCACCAAAGCCGAAGCCATTCAAAGCCTGAAACAACATATGCAAGTACTCCTAGACCAAATGAAACGCCAGCAATTGGACCATGACATACGTATCGAGCGGCTATTGGCAGAACATGCTGTGATTCGTGAAGTACAGTACATATATATATATTTCTCTATTTCAGTAAATTAATAAATATATATGTTCACAGGACTTGGAGAAACGATTGGAAACCACGGCAGCGGATGCAATCTTGCGGATGCAATGGCTCAAAGCCGTGAAATGCGAATTGTCTGACCACAAAGTCGGGAGTTACATAAATCCTTCGCATTTGCTTCGTATTTTACGTGTCACACTCACATATTTACAATGGTTAGGTCCTGAACAAACACTTATTATGTGGCATTTCGGCTTTGGAAAAGCGACGGGCAATGGAAATCAACGACATGCAGGCGCGTATCATGGCGCAACTCTGTCGCATCCATCGCCTCGAAATGTGGAACCTGAGTCTAAAGAAAAGTATCGATGCCAATAACGACGTGCTGGTATGCTCAAATATATATATATATATATATATGATGAAAATGGATATATATATATATTTATTATTAACATGGATATATTTTAATAGATTGCCAGAACATGGATATGTATGTATATATATATAATTTATATGATGAAAATGAATATATATTTATATTATTGTTATTAACATGGATATATTTTAATAGATAGTCAGAACATGAATATATATATATATATATATATATATATATATATAATATATTCGTTCGATGGTAGCTCCAACATCAAGTCAAACTCGAAGAAAAGATCGCCGAACATCGGGCGGAACAGCGGATACTTCGTCACGAAGTTTGGCGGCAACGGATCTCAGCGCAGTTGCTGCTTACGAACGCCGACCATTTGCTGCACTTTTTCGTCCAAGGCATTGAAGGGCTTTGCGGTCACGCCAACGACGATTTACGGAACGCTGCAGTCATTCCAGTATATATATATATATATATATATGATAGTCCCTCATATATATTTATATACTTGATAGATTTTGGTGGAATTGTGCAAACTGTCGACTCTGTCGCCTTCAATTCGGGCACTGGCTACCACTTCGTTGGGCAAGTTGAGCTGGAACACTCCCAAGTCGCATCGACACATTGGATGGCAGGCCAAAACAAGTAAACAATTCTATCACGTTTCCACCTATTTTATCCGCGAATAAATACACTGAGCCCACAGCTATATAACTATATATATATATCTTCTATACCGTCAATACAAAAAAATATTATATATCTTCAACACGAAAAACCATGCGACACCGTAATCCACGAGTGATAGTTTGGACCAAGTGGGTAGCCCGCCTATCAAGTGAAGCCACCGACGCACTCCAAGAAACCAAGCTCGAGTTTGACGACATCGTGGCTTGTTCGTCCAGTAGCATGAACCTCACCGCAGACGCCACGACCCACGAACGCTGTCACAGCCACTTGGATCGGCTGCACGTCCTCCAAGAAACCGACTACTGGGTCAGTTCATCTGCTATTCCAGTATCCATAAACGAAGTCAACGTGCTGAGCATCGGCGACACGAGCGGCGCGCTGGCCATTTTGATCGAGCTCAGCTGCGCGTCGTCGCAAGAAGTTCCGCTGGCGGTTCGTGAAGGCGCGCTCGGCAGTGTCGCGGCGCTGGCCATGCATTCACGCAACATTCACCTGATGGGGCGAGTTCCGGGGTTCCTGCAGACGCTGCTGGGGCTGTGTGAGGACGACGCACCTTCTCGAACGATGCAAGTACACGCATTGCACAGCTTAACTAACTTAAGCTTTCAAAACCGAGTGCACCACCAACTAATTTACTCGATGAACGGCATGTTGGTGCTGCTGCGGGTACTGCGCACGTCGAAAGACGTGGATGTTGTGGACTTGGCCTTGTCTGCGGTGGCGAATCTCACGGAATCCCACGTCGACATGATCGACCAAGTGCTGATTGAGGGTGGCCTCGCCCAGCTGCTCACCCTGTCGATGGCGTCGTACCTCTGTGACGCCGTTGAAGATGGCAAGATGGACACCATCCAGGGCAACATTGCGCTCTGTGTGGTGCATATTCTGCACGCCAGTCCCGAAACTGTGCTGCGGCTGTGGGTAGCTGACTCGTCTCAACAGGATGCCAACCAATCAACATCTTCATTCGCGCACCCGGGTTCGTACTTAAACCTGTGCTTGAGTCTGGTCGTGTCGGGCACAGTTGCAGTGCAATCTGCAGCCATCATGGTGCTCGGGGTCGTCGCTCAACACGATATCGTTCGAGGCCAGCTGGGCGATGCGGGAGCCGTCGAGTTGCTCGCGCCGTTGCTAACCCACTCGCTCCAATATGACGACGAAGGCAATACAAACCAAATGGCGTTGGTGGAGCAGACGGCGTGGACGTTGCTGCAGCTGAGCTGGAACCGCGACAACCAAACGCGGCTGAGCCAGTACTCGCGCACCTTTTTAACCATTTGCCAGCTACGATTGCCCAAGTGGACTCTTGTGCAGCAGCATGTGTTTCAGCTCGTGGGAAACATCGTGTTCTACCACCCCGAGAACCGCCATATGATGCTGGAGGACAATCAGTGGCTGGCGTTGCTCCTCGAAACGTGTGGTCGACAGGACGTGAGCTGGCGCGTCGACTGCGTCCGAGCCATATGCGCTTTATCGTACGAGAATGCATTTGCATCGTCGTGTGACCACATTCCAGTGATCGTTGCTGTATTGCAAAGCACAACTGAGTCGGATCTGGTGCTCCATGGCCTCCAGTGGCTAAGCAACTTGCTCGTGCACGACGGCCAAAAGAGCCGCTTTGTGCACTGCCCCCTCGCCACGGAAACCCTTGTGACACTGTGTGGGTCCGAGAACAAGACCGTTCGACACCACGCCCAAGTGGCCCTCGACCTCGTCGCAGATATACGACTGCCCCACAAGCGTACACGTGAATGGAGTTAGTCGTCCTTAGGAGTTTGTACCAACATAATGAACCACTACTAGAGATGCTTGAAGCGATCAAGTGGCGAAGATCGAAATGTACGAGTGAACTGGGGATAATGATCATATCAATAGTACTACTACTTTACCTACTACTAGTAGGAATGCCTTTCGATCCAACGTGACAACAATCTCAACATTTGGTGAGATGTTGTGCATTGAACAGGTTATATATTGTTATCCCCTTGAACGCAGTATGATTGGACACTATTGGCTGCAAATGAACCAATTGCTCATTTTGCAGGTCCTGACTCAGGAGCCCGACAAAAATCCATGATGTGGTAATGCAAACTAGTACTACCGGTACGTACTACTTAGTACGGCTAGTACTACTACAGTATGACGTAGGACAACCGAGCGAAACATGGCAACATCGGGCATTCCTCGCCCCGTTCATCGGAAAAAGCCTGCTGCTGTCAATCACAATTGGATATGTCACATACACATCTCCAATATGGTCAGAATAGCTACTAGTATTTCCGAACCCAATTGAGTATAAACTCAATTGGGTTGTTTCTACTTGAACTTCGTATGACGGATTCAAAAACGTTTATTTTATCTACCGTTTGATCCTCCCGGTGAGAATATTCCCCTAGTCCGTGACACACGTTATTTTAAAAATAACGATATTTTCTTGTAGTTTGTATCAAATATAAAAAAGACTTTATTTTATTATCTCGTGTAGCCCATTCGTAATCATAATATATCACCTCATTGGGTCCATTCGTCCGAGGATGTCGCTTGTCGTGTGGACTCCGTCATTCGCCGTCCTTCGACGTGAGAGAGATGGAAGCGCGGTCCCCTTGGTTTCACAGCCGCGCTGCGCTGGTCCTTGCCCTCGTCCTCATCATGGGGCTGCTGATCATCCACGTACTGTTCGTGGACATCTCTTCCCCAAAGCGACTAGGCTCCGTGCGTCACGAGTCGGACTACCAAGGCGAACGCGGCCACCTTCCCGACCGCACCGTGCCACACGAGTCCGATTACCAAGGCGAACGCGGCCACCTTCATGACCGCACCGTGTCCAACCTTCCGCTTCACGGTCCGTCCATTGAACTCCACGCGCCTACAGGTCCTCAAGACGGCATCGTCACTTCCACCGAACTGTTTGCCCAGCACGGCAAAACGGACCGCGGCATGCACTTGCGCATGAAGAACGTCGACATCCTCGGAAACCTGACCGCGCGGGCGCAGGACCCGCTGCTGGTGCTCGTGGTGCTCAACGACCACGAGTCATGGGGCGCCGGGCGGTCCATCGTCGATTTCTTCGCCATGATCGGCGAGTTTACACATCCACAGAACCAGACGTCGGTGGCCATCCTAACGTCGGACGCGACCGAATTCGACGCCATCCACGCCCACATGCAGAACGAGATCCACCGGTTTGCGCAGTTCAACCTCATCCTTCGCCACGACTTTGCGGCCGCGGGCCTCACGCGCGGCAACCGCAAGGCGGACGAGCTGCAGGCCGCTAGGCGGCGCATGTTAGCTCGGTACCGCAACTACCTGCTCCTGTCGACACTAGAGACGTGGCACGAGCATGTGCTGTGGCTAGACTCGGACGTGCATGTCGTAGCGCCGACTCTAGTGACGAAGATCATCAAGGCTGATCGGGATATTGTGCAGCCGATTTGCTTTTGGGGGGACCCCCCCTCCACCCACGAGTACGATTACAACGCGTGGGTGGGGGGTCGACAGCACATGGGCGGCCTATCGACCCCCCCCGATGGATTTGTTCGGCTGGATTCGGTCGGTGGCACGTTCCTGTACGTTAAGGCGGATATCCACAGACAAGGCGTTCGGTTTCCGCACTTTTACACGATTGGCGCTGACTGGGATAAGGATGGCACGGACGGCATCGAGACCGAAGGGCTGTGCTATGAAGCGCACTTCCTCGGCTACCGATGCTGGGGCATGCCCAATGACCCTGTCTACCACGTTAGCGACTAACGACCTTTTGAATTTGGTATGTACTTCGAAGTATATGATAATAGTAGTGAATCCAGAACATGAAGTAATATATGGGCGAAGATGTTAATGACAGCAGCATCTGTAATACCTCGTGATTTAGTTTCCGAGAAATTATTACTACTTGGAAGTATTTCTTAAAAAATAGTTAGACGTGACTGCATCCACTGGGACAAAACAGGGTAATAGTGAGTTCAAGACAGAGGATATTGGGACAAACGGGATAAACTGCATCCACTTATTGCATCCAGATGCAATTATACATGTGGGACACATCGGTTTCGATTAATTGAGTTTGGATGATCAAGAAATTTGTAAGTGAACAAGAGGTCTACAATTAAACCTCTTATTCACTTACAAATTTCTTGATCAGTGATTGCCAATAATACATACTGTACATCAATATATATATATAATTAAAATACGTAAATGTGACAGAATTGGCTAAGAGATTGAACAAATGATCAAAGCATTGAAGAATAAACCGATTCAAAAACAATATGGCAACGCTATTCCGCATTTACAACATAAGAGCATCTCCAATGCGGGTCCCTATCCCAACTCTATCCGGATTCCCCAGGGGAGGGGCGGATAAAACCTTGCGGAAATAATCCGGGGAAGCCGGGGATCGAACCCACGACCTAAGCTCTACCACTGAGGTATTTTCCCTCCCCCATGTGGGACATCGGGGTCGATTGGGTTCTCGGGGGGATTCAAAAACAACGGCTAAGGTACATTTAAGGTATGACCATACGTGGGTTACCAGGGTTTTTTTTGGCTCCACGAAAACCAACTCGAAGTGGGTCGACCCACCAGCACCTGCTCAGCGCAACCAGCAGGGCCTCTTACACGAGGTGGAGCGACAAGCTCGCGCCTTGCGGTTGGATGCCCTATATTGTATGGCGTTGCAGCCCACGGCGAAGTGGAACGAACGCGTTCTCCTGCGTTAGCTCAATCCAAGGTGTTCTCGCGCCACCCCAAAGCGACCGACGCCTGGAGGTCCACTCCTGCACATCTCTATGGGTCGCGCTGAGAAGGCGTTGGGGGGTCGACCCGCTTCGAGTCGGACTTCGTGGAGCCGTTCCATGGCTTGGCTTCGACCTGGACGCGCCGCGGCGCACGCGGTTACTTGTGGTGACGAGCAGCCGCTCCCTCGGTCAGCGGCGCGACAGCCTCGCTCCTCGTTGAAGACGGGAAGCACGCGCTTGAAGTGGATGTTCGTGGAGCCGTTCAAGGTCTTGGGTGGCAGCAGGAATGTGAGGCATCATGTTGGATCGTAGAACGACAATGAACTTTGAGAACCCCCATGGATCTTGACTTGTATGTGACAGCGTGATAGTTTACGAACGAGGAAATGTTGCGACAAGGTTTGGGGGTCGACCGAATCGTCACTGATATTGTCAGTTTACAGTAACAGTTCCTATTTCTAGGTTCTACTCGAAATGTCCATGCTCAATTGATGGATCAACTGTAAACCTTTCACTAACGATGGATCAAACCCTCTGTAATATTATACGTAAAAGTTATATAGAGGTTCTGCTCCGGAATCCATTTTAGGAATTAGCCTGTCAATTCTTAGAAAGACAGCTGCAAATGGGTATACAAATGTTAAGCTTAAACATCATGTACCTTCAGTTGGACCGCTTGTTATCAAAATATATCCATAAAAATATGGATACTATAACGTTAGAAATAAAAAAATAAAGCTACTATTAATACTATGTAGAAATATTTAATACTACATACCTCTGTCCGAAAATAGTTGCTCCAAACTGAAAAACTGAGATCCGAGAAAAGTTGCCCCAAGTGAACTACTGTAAGAAATGCCTCTAATCTGACCAATGGAATACGCGCAACATACATTACAACAATTGTTCGATGCCTAGAAACAGCGCCAGATCCATGTCAATGTCATCCTCCAGTTCACCGTCAACAGAGAGTTTCTCCATTTGCCGAGCTGAATTCGCTCATGTTCATCGCGTGTGCCACTCCAAGTGCCAATTCGTCGATCTTCTTGTTCATATCAGTAGCACTTAGTACTCCACACACGTCATCAAACAGGTCATGATCAACGCAAACAACCTCGGGCAACATACCCACAGCAGCCAGTTACGCCTTCTTCATATGCGGGATTATGTAAAACTTGTTGCCTTCCACACGCATTACCTCTTGCATGCAGCGTTGCAACGTAAGTTCAACGTCATCATGTCGACATCCTGCCACGCTTCATCGGTTGCAGCAATGATGTCGTCAATGTTGCGCGAATAGTTCCGTTCTTGAAGAGTCTACAACGCTCGAAAGAACCCCAGGTCCAACACGTTGAGGTCCGGCATTTGGGGAGGCTGAAACCTCTCTTGCATGGCCCACCCTCCGCTGGTACACGCAGCAACGATGCGAGGGTCCGATGGGGGAACGTGAGGCCTGGAGTTGTCCTGCTGGATGATCACACCCTTGGTCTCATCTTGGGGCCAATTTGCTTTGATAGCGGGGATTACCTTGTCCAGGAGCTTGGGCGTGTACACATCGCGAGTCACGCTGACCGGCTTCATCACCATGGTTCCAGCCGGTGTATTGCGGCTTCCACGCAACGCCGGAACTCGATCCGTAAAATGCCATGTGCCGATCTTGCCGTCGAACCACTCGCATTTGTCATGGTCCCAACGTGATCGTGCAACGGTGGATAGAAACATGACCTTCATGATGAACGTTTTGGACTTGACCGTGAGATGAGGAGGGTCTTCGTCGGGTGCAAGATAGTTCGACTGTGAACTCGCGTGGCGAAGAACCACTTTTCGTCCACATCGACACAGTCCATTATGCTGTCGAAGGTGTAGTCGGTCGGTCCCACCGGGTGAACATGGTCGATTGCCTACTTGAGGTGAACGGCCTTGTTGACATCCGTCAGTGCCGGCTTGACTGTACTAGAGTATTTCACGAAAATTCCTCGCCGATGGTAGTCATGCAGGGTCGACTTGGGCATGGTCATGGCGGCAGCGATGGACCGAAATGTTGTCCGTCGAGCCTTGGGCACGAGTGTGAGACAACAGAGTCGTGCTTGAGGTTCCTGCCGGAACGACCTTTCTTCCTTGAGCAGACAGACTGGCACGGGCGAAGCTTGTCGGACAGGTCGACGGCAGCGAGGTGTCAGATTCGGCGAACCCGTGCTTCGGTCAACACCAAAGGAGACGGCGACGCTGCTAAGGCACGTCGTGGCAATGTCTTGTGATCAACCATCCGCGCGAGAAGCTGCTGCAGGATTGCAGTTCGATTGTTGTCCGTGAGGTCCTTCTTGGTGCGCATTTGGATTTGACACTCTTGTTAGTACGGATAACGTGTGTTTTATCCGGTAAAGTCGTAACCGGATATAACACAACTTCATGTTAATTTCTCAAATATTCCGTTTGGGGGAACTATTTTCGGACATAGGTAGTAACTGACAGAATGGATGGTTACAGAGCGAAGTCTTCTCACTTCAAATTCCAGTGGTACTTACCTGTGGTACCGTCCTACGTTTCGCGCCATTTACACGATCCAACAGTCACTACCAGACAACCATGCCTCCAAAGCAGACAGCCATGCGTCCCAAGCCGTTCAAGCGCGAAAAAACAACCGTACCTCCAAAGCCGTTCAAGTCCAAGGGTGGCAAGGCCAAGTCCACCAAGCCATCAACGAAGAAGCGAGTTGTCGTCCACAAACACGTCAAGACGGTGGTCCACGTCCACACGTCGGCTAGTCATCCTCCAGCCTTGAGCTACCCACGTCCTCATACCACTACCTCTCCCACTGCGAATGCGCCTGGCCGTGTTACGATCTACGTGCTCGCGCTCACCCACGGGAAGTTTTACGTGGGCAAGACGTCTCGTCCGAACGTCGAGGACCGCTTGGACGAACACAAGCGTGGCAACGGCTCGGCGTGGACCAAACGGTTCCCTCCCCTCTCGGTGGCGGACGTGATCCACAATGCGGATCCGTTTGATGAGGAGAAAGTGACCAAGCAGTGGATGCTCCAGCACGGTGTGGCCAATGTGCGAGGCGGAAGCTACTCGCGCGTGGAGTTGCCGCCCGAGCAGATCGCATCAATTGAGAACCAGCTGAGGGGCATCACGGACCAGTGCTTCAAGTGTGGACAGAGCGGCCACTTTGCGAACAAGTGTACAGCAGTAGTAGAGGACGACGACAGTAGTGAGGAGGTCGAAGAAGAGGAGGAGGTTTGTGGACGCTGTGGACGTGAGGGCCATGACAAATCGGCATGTTACGCCAAGACGCACGGGAATGGAGTCAACTGGTGTCTCCGTTGTGGCCGGGAGGGCCACGAAGATGCTTCATGCTACGCGTCATCTCACTCCGTGCTCTCAGAGTTTCCCGATGAATGTTGTGCTCGTTGTGGCCGAGAGGGCCACGCACGAGCCCAGTGCTACGCCAAAACGCATGCTTCGGGGGCACGGCTACATAACAGTAAAACACAATAACAGTAGATTTACACTTTGTCAATTTATAAATAGCTTCAACCGCCTCCAAAACCTAGCAGCACGAGCTGAGGACAAACGCAAACCAATCACCAAGCGGATCAACGCAACTCCAACAGTACGACTAACCGGAAATCCGGATAACCCCGTTTTGAGACAAATCGCCAAAGTTATATAGGTTTAAGTATTGGGGCTTTGTGTGGCTGAATCTGTTGTGATTGGGTGTAGTTTGGTACGAAGCGATGCTATTGGTGTGCTCGAGACGTTACTAAAGATGCATCTGTTTTCAGAATGGAATAATTCGACCAACTTCATGTTCATTTCTCAAATATTCCGTTTGGGGGAACTATTTTCGGACATACTAGTAGGTAGTAATTAAGACTTACGGGACAGCATTGAATATTAATACCAACCTTGGATACTATGGTTAATATAATATAATTGTTGAATTAAAAGTGTGGATGACATGTGGATGACATTGGATGAAATTGGATGAAGTTGTGGATGAAACCTAAAGTACTACTCTGGTCCATAATGTTTGCACACCACTCACATTGATTGGCGGAATTATTCAAAACTTTGGTCATTTTCGCATCTGATTGGCTGTTTGGAAAGCGCAAGATCTCAGCTTTGATTGGGTACTTTGTGCTCCTTTCAATTTGCTCCACATCAAAAATTATGGCGCCGAACGCGACGCACACCAACTTCAGAAATTGCATAAACTTCCGCCACACAATTAAAACACAATATTTGTTGCTGTGCACAAGTCCTAACGCACTGTACCTTGCTACTATGCCATAACTGCCTCTGCTTACCCCACCAAGTCCTCCCACGCCACCACGGCAGACCCGAAACCTTTCCGACGTCGAACTACGTCAAACCGCTGCTGACGGAGGTCAACATGGTCGCACGTGTGGAACACTGCCTCCGGTTCCTCCGGGTGATACCTGGTGGTTGTCGTGTGTTTAAAAACATGCATGACTATGTACACGTAGATGAAAAGTGGTTCTTTTTTACCAGAAGTGCACTCGGACGATCGACGAGCTTATTGGTGCTGTGGAATCGGCGTTTCATGAGTTACTCTCCGCGACGCTCTCTAAGACATTTATTACTTTGCAAAAGGTAATGGAATTGTCTATGTGTGTTCATGGGAGCAATGCATATAAACTACTAGTACCTCATATGAACAAGGACGCAACAATTGAGAGCCTGTCTGGCTATAATGTTGAGTGTGATCCAATGTCGTACGAGAGCGCATTGATCCACTTGAATAATCGTCTTGCGGAGGAAGCTTCCATGGATGCCCAGTTGAATTCTCACACATAAGTACCTGGTGGTGGCAATAATAAAACATGATTCATTAAATTTGGCTCAAATGTGTGCGTTTCCAAAGTCAGATGTGCAAACATTTAGGACCAGAGTAGTAGTGACCAAGTGGTCCCGAGCGCCCGGGAGGCCGTCTGCGCAAGCGCGGTCGTACGAGAGCGCACGGATCTAAGCTTCTCACTTCACCAAATGATCTATCTTTTCTTCTTGTCGGGCAGCGGCAGGTAGGCCGTAGGCCGTGCCGCTCCCGGACGTGGCCTGTATGCAATTACCTAGCATTATCCTTATTTACTCTCATCTATACTAATTAGGATATGACCTAATATTAATGGTGGATGACGTTGGGATGACACATGATACTATCACGGATATTTGAAATCCATATAAATAATTCGAAGTATTAATACTGAGTACTACGTACAGTACAGTAAGCTTAGACAAATTCCGTAATAGTATTGGCTAATTTTCAAAGCATCCTGCCATTTTATTGGCTACCCCATGACGATTGTTTTTTCGAGCGCACGACATATTTCCGCCGATGGCCTCGATGCAACGTCGACGACGGGCTTACCCGAGGTAACGATGTGGCGCATGGTGACACCGCTGTCCTTCATGTATCCCGCTTCTTCGTACGTAGGCAACCGCCTCGTCCGAATCCTGTCGAAAGTGAGCGTGATTGACACGGCGGTCGAGTTTGTCAACGCGACCCCTCGGCCAATGGACGTGATTTGGGTCGACTACCACGGCACCGAGACCACGTACATGACGTTGGAATGCAGGGAGAGCTATGAACAACCCACGTACGCGGCCCATGCATGGAGGATAGCATTTGCCGACTCGTATCTACGTTGCGTCTAAAGCGGCTACGGTGGTGGTAGTGCATGGTGTGAAGTGGATATCCGTTGGCAAGTCCAACGACGACATATCCGAGATATAGTATGGACGGCATGTAATTTATTGCTTAGAGCAGAAAAACGACCGGAACGACGTATGATGCTGATGAGAGGCGGCTTGCAACGTGAACACGAGGACTATGAGGGCAGCTTCGCACAGCTTTGGGATGAGCATTGGCCCGGAAGGACTTAAAGCATCTTCGTGATGAAGAGGCTCGTCGGAAGTGAGGAGAAGTGAGTCGATGACGTCGTCCAGGATGGTTCGTTCCTTGGAGGCGTCAGTGGCCGACGTGGCAAAGCACCACTCGTGGAATTGATGCAGCATGGTGGACGACGTCGGTGGCAGCGGCACCTTCGCAAGGGAAGCAGTGGGAACGGACGAGGGTGGCGCAGGCTTGGCGAGGTGGAACGTGCACACGCGATGACACAACAGGACAGTAAGCATGACGAGGCACAGGATAAAGTTCACATATTCCATCCATGCATCGTCATCATCTATCGCTGGATGCAAGGCGGCGGCGGCAGCAGTGTCTGCCATGCCAATGAAGGATGGCAGGCGCGGCGTTGGAGAAACTGCGGTGCCATCATCCCGCCCCTACACCAAATCTTCCAGTTCAACAACATCGAGTATAACGCAGTGCGTTTTATCTTTCCTTGCCACATGCTATACAATTTACAAGTAACGTTCCAAGCAAGTTTCGACGTGTGCGTTAAATCAGATGTGTATCGGTTACACTGACGCCTCCACGGTGTAAGAACGGTGGCTGTTGGAAGGGCGACCAGGACGTCCGATGACACTGACCTATGTCACTCGTGCCGCGTATGATGAGCGTTCTGTGCGCATGTTGCGTTGGTCCACACATGTATCTTGTCTACCTCCACGAGTTTACGCAGCTACCGTTCGTTCAGGCAGTGACATCAACAAGCGTGTATTGCTATTACACAATCATATCCTGACCTCATGAACAACTAGGCTTCGGATCATCGTAGGGCGACGGTCACTTGCATGAAGTCTCGCGCGCAGACCACGTCATCGCTACCAAACGACGCGACGGCCAGCTGCCGCACTTGGTCCATCACGTCCATGCTGTCGGTGCTGCCGTCGCCTTTGTATCGGCTGGAGAAATGGTTAAGGATCAATCGCTTGCATTTGATGGCGCGAGCGAACGCGCCCGCCATGTCTGGCGTCGAGTGGCCATGGGCTTTGGTGTTTATTTCTACCGATTCCGTCGTCAGCCCCGCCGCCATGTCACAGGGCAGGCACGCGTTGGTCGCTTCGTGCACGACCACGTCGACTACATCGTCCTGTGACAACGTTACAAACGCAGACTCGAGTGCGTTCGACGTGTCGCCGAGAATCAGCACGACCCGGCCAGGACGAGGGCTGGCTAGACATAGCTCGGGAGACATCACTGTTCCATCAGGCATGACCAGCGACTCTCCTCTTTTCAGCCGCGGTAGCAGCGACAGCGGATTCTTTAGCCCTAGTGCTGCGCTGTTGCGCTGCAAGATGGGCCGCACGAGCTCAATCTGTAACCGGCCAGGAGAAGCCGGCTCTCGCAAGAGGTAGCCCACCGTGGGCACTGTGTGGGGGATGGCTGCGGCTTGGATGACAAACCCAGATGAAGTGGGAGGAAGGGTCCAGTAAGCATAGCCAGAGGTCGTGACGAGTGCGCTGTAGGATTCTCCAGGTACTTCGTCAATATGTGGAGTGTCGTTTGCAGGTGGAGATGCGTCGACAGAAGCTCCAAACAGCAGCTCGTGTACTGCAAATCTATGGCACATACTTGTGAGCTCAGGTCACGTACAACGAACGGAGAAGGAGTTGTTGGTAACGAACCCAGTGCCTACGCGGGACATGGTGTGTTGAAGCATGCTGCGAACGTACGACTTGGTCCCTTGAGGTCCATAGATGTGCACAGGATTGGTTGGCCGAGGGGTTCGTCCGTCGTTCATGCTTGTTGCATTCGGAGACACAACCGAGCCAGCCGTGCAGAGCAGACCAGGCAGGCCAAAACAGTGATCCCCGTGGAGATGCGTGAGAAAGATGCGAGATATCTTGGCAAGTCGTGGAGCAGAGTGGGCGGGTGCGACGTTGCCGGGAGCTGGGATCGCCAACGCCGTGTAATCGGCCATGAGGTTGATCAGCTGATGCTGCGTGGCTTCCCCACAGTCAAACAGCCACACGTCGCCACCATCGGGTCGGAATGCTAGCGACGAATGGTTGCGCGTGGGAGAAGGCTGGGCCGACGCAGTTCCCAGGAAAGTGATGTCCATTGCCGACTGTCCAACCTCGTTCGCGAAAAGTTTCAAGGTACCAACACTCGACCAAGTATATCAGAATGTTGGTTTGTCCAATTCTATTCATAGTTCAGGCGAATACATTGCCAGTAAAGGTCCCATTCACGACTTCTAACGTTCAATAAACATAATAATTACTTGGCAAAGTCATTTATACTCTCCAGACGTTCTACTCGTCGACGAAATTGGACGCCTTCTTCTTGTACGCAACGCACACAGCAGTCATGTTGTCCGCGTGGTCCCCAAACAGTTCTGTTGCGCGAGCCACATTGGCCTGCATAAACTCGTGCAGGATGGTGCCACTGTGGTTGTTGCCTTGAATATAAGACGCCACTTGCTTGAACTGCCAGACGTCCCACACCCCATCCGTAGCCAACAGCAAAGTCGCGCCAGGCTCGACGTTTGTTTCCGCCACGTCTGGCTCGTACGTGACTCCATACATGTGCATGTGAAAGTCTCCCAGAGATCGCGTACACGCAAGTGTATCCGAAAAAGCCGCGTGGGGGGGCGCCGACACGACACATGCCCATTCGTTCCGTGCGTTTTTCACATAGCCCCCCCTCGGCGGCGCGTCCTTTATACAGTGGGGGGTATTAATTCTGACAGGATTGACGGGGCGACGGGCGGCGGGTATAAAGATGGGCACTCTGTCATGGGGGTCGGTGGAGTGGTCAAATAGACACTGCGCCCCAAGGCCAAGCTCCGCCAGCCGGTTGAATTCGCTCGTGCAGTCAGGGGCGTGGGTGCCAGTGAGAAACACAAACGAAGGGACGATATCGTCCATTTGGTTGTCAGTTTGTTTTGAGTCGTCGTCGTCGTCGTTGGGCAGAGATGAGGCTGGCGTTGGGGCGGTATCACAGTATGCATGCCATGTCAGATCGCATGTGCCTGTGGGATTTGCAAGGATCGCGGCGGAATCGCCGACGCTGGCCACAATGACGCGTTGATTGTGAAGCAGCGCCAACGTGGCTGTGGTGCCTCCATATACGCAGCGGAACGGCTGGGACTGGTTGGCCATTCGATACGTAAGAAAAGGTCCACTCTCTTCGTGAATGGAACAGCCTTGCGCCGTGTAAAACGACTTGAAGCGGCCGTAAAGGTGGTGATGGCATTCACGGAATAGCCGACGGAATGTAGCTTCCGGAGATTCCAGCACCTCATCGAGCAAGGCTGGGTCCTGGAAGTTCGACGCGAAGAACGCCTTCGCAGCCCGTGACGCGATCTGACCGAGCTCAGCGCCATGACCGTCGAACACGCCGATGAGCAGGCAGTCGTCGGTCAATGGAAGCGTGAGGTGCGCGTCCTGGTTCTGCATGAGGGAGGGAGAACCAATATGGGACATCGCCGCCACGCTTACGTCCACCCCATCAAAATGCATCACTATCCCGGTGGGTTTATCCATGTTTGTTTAGAATTGACCTAGGATCGTGTGCAATTTCAAACAAATCTTGTGAAAGGTCACCTATAAATGAAATTGATTGGTTATTGAGCTTTATTGGTTAAAACCCAGCCAATGAATTTCACGCTATAGTGTTTGTTGCCCATCCAATTTTCACGAATCGGCGGAATCTGCTTCGGGGGATGCCGATCTTTGTGGCGACGGCGACTGCACACATACAACATGAGGAGAACACGATGCATAAGGAAATCACAATACATCATAATCGTACTTGAAGGGTCCCGAGTAGCTGGCAAAAGGCTGCCTTGAGACCTTGACTGTCCAGCGCAACCAGCAGGCGTTGAAAATTCTGCCTCTAGCAATCAGTGCAAACCTGTGCAGCTAGTTGTACATGTACCTCCTCCATCATGCGCTTGCGGTTGTACTCTTCTACTTTTCTGGCCTGGACCTCCGCCTTGTGTTTCAATTCCACAGCGTCGCATTCCGCTTTCAACCAAGCATGTCGCTGCACCAGCTCCGATTCGAACGCCGACAGCCGATCATATTCCCGGGCCTCCATCTCCAAGTCGGCGATCGATCGATTCAGTGTCTTTAACGTGCGTGTTATCCCGTGTAGAACTATATTGCGGTTGGTACCAACCTCCACGTGGCACTTGGTGGCGTCTTGCTGTAGCGCCCCTTTGTCCAGAAATACGTGACCCATCGCCCCCTGTTTGGCTACCGCCAAGGCCTCTTTATCGCCCAATCTGGCCAGCATCTCAGACAAACACTGACTCTCGTACTGCAGTTTGTGGTTAAAGTCGTGCTTGGCTTGGAGCTCCACCTCCAACTTGGCGACTTGGGCTTCAAGCACGGCGTTCTCTTCGAGAAGCTCCTTGTTTCCTAGCCCCAAACTCGTGCGTCGCACCCGCCCTTGCATCGATAACTCGTTTTGTAACCGACAACCACATGGCGAGAGTTACCACTCTGTTCCATAATGATTGCAGCACTTGACTTCTGATTGGACTAAATTTTACATTTCTCCTCGTAATCACAAGCGGATTGGCTCATTTGATAGATACACATTCCAGCTTTGATTTGACACCTCATGTTCCGGGAAAGTCAAAGTAGTTAAGTGCGTCATGGCCCCAAAACTTTGTGACCTTATTTTTCAAACCAGAAAATCTTACGGTGCACAGTCGATAGTGATTGTATTTTGTAAGCTTAAGACTGTATGCTCGTGTGATGTCCTTACCTCGCCCTATCCAGTCGCAGCTCATCTAGGCATCCAGATGTGCTCGTGAGGTCGCTCCAAGTTTGTGATCGATTGGGGCTCTGTATTTTGAGCATTTGCGTATATTAAGTGCCTATCATTAGCTTCCCATGTTACCAGAGATCAACATGACCTCTAGTAAGGTCGCCACAGTGTTGGCATGGCCTGAATGGGTTAACTCGTCCTGCAAAGGTGTCGACAAAGGCATCCAAGTTGCTGGTTTTTCATCCTTAATATTTAGGATTTATTTTATTATACTATTTCTAATATATGTATACAAACTACAAGTATGTATTTATATTACCGTTGCTTACAAAAGCTAAGATAAAAAGTAAAAAAATATGATATGCTGCAAAAGATATGGAACAGAGTAGTACACAGTATCAAAATTATCTTAGATAGTACAGTTGAGTCAACAGGCAGCACGATGACTTTGGTGTATCAATACTATATAAGCGATCTATTCTCTTCATAGCCTACCTTTCACGACCCATCGACTTGTTGCAATACAGTAACGAAGCAAATGCTCCGCGCACTCGAATAATTCCGCGCTGTCCCAGTACATACCTAAGTACACTTGGAGTAGCCGATACTGTACCTCAAAGTTCCAGTTGAGTTGCTAGCCTGTACAGGAAGTACGTCAATCCATGAGACTTGCTAGCTTCGGCCAGTCTGTCGGTGCATATGTGGTATGCTTCTAAAACCATACCGGTAGAAAGGCGGCTCGGCTCTGAAGGGCATGTGCATACAGTACTTGGTTGTCACTGTAGCCACATTGTGCAAGTGTGTGTGAAGGTACTGTACTACTATTAATAGCACTTGGTACTACTAGTACTGCTTACTGTACCTGTACAGTATGTACTGGTGTACTTGTAGTACTAGTTGACAACCCAATCCAAGTAAGTAGGTACTATTAATAGATGGTAGTACATAGTGATTGTACTCCCTGGTAGTACATGATCTATATTGAACTTGTATAGTACTTCGAAGTACTCAATGTGCTAGAGGAGTAATAAGTTCATATCCGACCAGTATATGGCGTTGGTTGGATAGTCAATGTAGTAAAAAAGTTCGCTTTAGTAGCAACTCATTTCGAACAAACTATCGTAGAACGATGTCGCTGTGGCAACGTCACAGGAGAGGACGCCACCCAGCATTGGCCACGTCGCCTGGTCTGCCACCGCCGTGGGCGACAGCACCGTGTCACAGTCTTTCCCCCCGTCGCAGCAGAGAGCGTACTCATCGTCTCCGAGCAGACACAATGCGTCGATCGAGTCGTCTGCGTCCAAAAAGTCGAATGAGCAATCAAACTCGCCATGGCCCAAGTCCTCTTGTGGGCCGCCGTCATCTTGGTTGGGCGTTGATAGTTGCTCCAGGAACGTCAACTTGGGCGTGGCCAGTGGGGCCGCCGCCACGGTCTGGATGGGCGGATGAACATGGGAAGACGAATGGACCGCTTTGCGCCTCTTGATGGGGCTACACGTGTACGAGGGTGGTGGTGGTGGCTGTGTGGTGGGTGTGTTCTTGTATCGCAAGGCTACCTTGTCTGACGGTGTCACAGGCTGACTAGAGGGTTGAACACCTTGTCCAGCAGCGAACTTTTGAAGAAACGTGAGGGATGCCGTGACCGACTGGACGGACGTTGTGACATGGTGCGAACCGCTCACTGTGGAGAACGAAGCAGCTGCTGCTGGTGATGATGTTGGTGCCGCCTTGGCTTGCAAATGCGATAGGGCTGAGGGTTGAGGAGGACGAGGAGGAGAAGGTAGTTTCTTGGCCGCGATGTTCGACGCGTGTCGTAGCAATGACGTGTTGATGGATGAGGTCGCCTTGGCCGCCGTCTTGCTTCGGTTTCGCTTCCGCTTTCGCGTGCCATTCGCCTTGTGCTCTTCTCGCTCGCGCTCCTCACGTACCCAGCTCTCGTTGAACGCATCCCGCAGTTCCTTGAGCTCCGACTGCCGCTTGGCCACTTGGGCGTCGGACATGTCCAGCAGCCGGCCCTCGTTGCGTTCAAACATGCGCTTACCAATGCTCTGCTCGCCCACAAACTTCTTGGAGATGCGCATGGGGCAGCACCGCAGCTGCGCACTCAGCCACGACCGCATCGTTGTGCCGTTCTCGATGTCGGTCAACACGCCTGCGGTGAAGTCGGCGATGAGGCGGCTCGTGTAGGCTTCTTCTTCCGGCGTCCACTTGCCCCATCGGGCCTTGTCCTTGGCAGGTGGCGTGTCCGTGGCGGCAGCATGGGGTGGTGGCGAGGTCGTCATCGAAGCTGGTGGTTGGTGCGCAGGACGCTACTTTTTCGAATCTGACTGCGTTCGAATTTGGAGGTTGCAATCTTGGTCAAAGTAGTATCCTTTTTTCCCCAAGCTAGTACTACTATACCACAGGCATTTCTGTCTCTGGTTCAGTGGCGTGCCACCGGCTACCTTCGACCCAACCACTCAGCATCATCTTATAAGGAAATGGCACCGACTGGTGATGCTGCGCATTCCCGCCGCAATATTATGCCAGCATTGACCATGGTGCGGGCGGTGGTTGTTGGCGTACTAGTGGGACGACCTGCGCAGTATGTAGCGCTGTGTCTACTATGGAATGCTTACCGTAGGACAATACTCGATCGCCATACTCGACATACGACGACGTCAGGGTTGGTCGACGAATTAAAAGGGGGAGTACAGAAGTACTGTACTAGTAGTTGATTATCGGATGGTGGACGAGCGGCAGCCGGCGCAGTTACCTAAGTATGTACATGTATGTAGGCTTTAGCCTACTGTACTGTATTCGAATCACGCCTTCGAATGCAAGCAAGTCTTAACGTGAATAATGCACACTACTTACTAGTTACTCCTGGAGTACGTGCGAAAAGTGGCTGGGCGTGAAGTTTGCTACTTTTACAGCAGCAGCATTCATTTGTCTGGCAAGACCTTTTCACAGGAACGACATCTTGCCGTGATTGCAATATGGTGGGCGGTGGGATTGTTGATGAGTTATCTGGAAAATTATGGCCTTATTGATTTTTATATACACCCAAAACGAGAAAACCATACAAAGAGTAAGAGAAAGGGGTGAATAATTTTATTATAATGACAATTCGTAGGTTGAGACGCGGCAGGCGCGACATGCCGCGGATTCGAGTTTTCCCAACGCTCATTGAATAATTTGACAACAACAGCAATGTTATAAGCTGAGTGGTGGTGGTTGTGAGCTGCCAAACAAGTGGAAAGGGAGGAATAGACCAACGCACCCCACGTCACACGATAAGGAAAGCGTCGAGACCAATTACACATTGTGTGGCAGACCATCATAGATTACTACTTTACTGTAGTTACCCCCTCGACGTGGTATGGCAAGTCGTACAGTATCGAACTATGACACTGTGGACAAGATACAGAGAACTGCGCTTTATGACGCTTTGGCGGTATATAGGCCCAAGTTGCAAACGTAGATGGGGACTTCTGAACCTTTTGCAGGTGAAATGCTTGGAAATAGTGAATGTATGTAGGTCTTGGTCAGGTGAATGTCGTTTACACGTGGCATCTCCGTGAGCCCCCGTTGCGGCATCATTGCTGGAGGGCTATACCTTTGTTCGGGTGCGAGGCTGCTTTGGGGACCACGCATACGTGCCTTTAATATTCCATTAAGGAGTCAAGAAAGTAGCGACTACGTACGTGACCAAAATATCGAACCCCGTTCAGCACGTTCAACCGCTTCCTAATGCAATTCACAATAGACCGTCAAATGGAACTCAAAGCTTAAAATCTGGGTACGGGTCTGATTTTGTCAGCAATCGTTGGCTTTAGGCACACATTGTTGTATGGTCGTTCGTGTTGCTACCGTGGAGAACACGCCATCTCCAAAACCCAAACGCCAGCACAACAACCACAGTATATGATCCACACTATACTCTCAAGAAAGAGCTGGCCGCACCTCAACGATTTGCGCCTTGTCAAACCCGTTTCCAACAAGTATCTGCATCAAATATCTCCAGTTTATCCTACGCATAAGTACAACAGAGCTTCCCCGCGATTGTATCGTTGAGCATACTACATTATATACTGTATACTGTATATACACATATTAATACATGCAGGCCTCTTAGTAATTTGGCAATGCAGTTTCAATCTAAGTTTTAGACTTCAAGTGGAAAATTCGACCTATGTTGATTGGTCCATTCGATTCTGTACTCTGGCTTTGATTGGCCAATCTATGAAAATCCCTTCGATCACAAAGTGTCAATCGAAATGTAGCTGAGACTTCCCCCGAAAAACGTTCATTAACCAGAAAAAGCAAGGTGAAATAGGCAATTTTTTATGCAGCGCAAGGTGAACCACCTTGCGAATTCCATAAATAATTCTGAAATTATACAGATTCAATTAAATATATCTTCAAGTTTGTATTGATGATTTTTGTGTCTGTCTCTTTTTGGAATTCGCAAGGCAGGTCACCTTGCGAATTTAAAATTGTCCAATTTGTCCAATCAGATGCTGTGAAATCACGAAAATCGCTGCGTAGATTCATCACACCCTGTTGCGATATATTCTACTCATGTGATGGCGGTTGATGCAAGGAGCATTGAGATAATTATGTAGACTGTGTATGAGAGCAAGATCATGCGATGTGGTATGGTGCACTTCATCTAAAAACTTCCAACTGGCCAAATTGAAGAGTGGAGGTTTTATTATTTAACGTGCAATTAATGTAGTTAAACCCAAAATCCAGATACGTTAAATACCGATTTCATGCGTTTTATCACTGGAGTGGGAGGTTAAAGGTCCCAACTGCCTCCGGATATTAAATACGGATAAGAGTCACATACAAAAATCAAGATACATTTGAGCGGCCACCCCTATGGCCAAATATCTAAGCGCCCATGTAAAATACCGATAGGTTAAATATCTATTTCTGGACCAATTCATCACAAAATTTAAATCTGAGACGTAGAATTTCTTCACCACATTGAGATCTGTCGATTATACGTCTCTATTTGCTGCAATTTTGAGTAATGAATACTACGTAGTATGAAATAGAAGTCAGAAAATTTTGTGAAAAGTTGGTGGTTTATAGATGACGTGCACCATATCATGGACTCGGTCAATTCGAACAGGTCTAGACTTCAGTAACATCACTACTTGCCTGATAAACCAATGAATGTGGTCATCCCTCATTCCACTATCAGTCCGTGTCGGTGCCGTACACCTCCCTACTGGAGTGGTCACGTGG